AACTTAGCAAATAAGTTGAAAATGAGAAGTGATTAAAAAAATTTATAATGAGCCATTTATAATGACTGTTCATCCCGAGAATGATGAGAGGGTATGACAAGAGGGTACAATGCTCAAGATCTTCTCCATTACAGGTCTGCATCTCGTTCATTTCACAGAATACAACAAAACAAGAGAAGCAGAAAGGAAAGTCCCTGTGAGCACAGCTACATAATGTGTGGCCACAGGTTTTGCAATGACGAAACACTTCACAAACGACAGTGCCAAAGAACAAAGTATTAAAAAAAAAAATAACACACACACACAACCTCTCTATGTTGCCAAAGATGTTGGATTTTGTAGATACATTCTGTAATAATTTTAATGCTTATTTTAGGTAAACAGCTATATTTATCATCAGCTCAGTTTTGTCCTCTGAAGGGAGATTTTATCAATAAGAATTGTATTTTCTTTATTACGTTGTAGTTTTTATGTTTAGCATGTTCAGTCGATAAAACAGTAAATAATAATAATAATAATAATAATAATAATAATAAAAACAGTACTAAAACCTTTTTAGTTTTTCACATTTTGCGCATTTTGGTTTCGGCTTCGGCCAGGAAGTTTTGCTTCGGTGCATCACTATTAATAATGGTGAGTGTTTAGAGCTCTGAAAGGCATGTTACCTGTCTCGATGCAAAGGGCAGTCAGAAGGTCGGTCAAGTGAATAATCTGACTGGGGGACAGCAACAGGTGCAGACAGCCCACCTTTCCATCGAGTTCCAGCTGAAAGAGTTGAAGAGTAAATTCAAAGGATCAACGCTAGAGTAATCTCAATTCTCAGAAAGCTACCAAAAAACACATATACACATATACACACACACAAAAAACACAAAGCAGCACATTTTCTTATTTTCTACTCAGTAAAGACTACACACATTGGTTCTTGATGTCACACATGCATGAGTCAGACCACAAACCTTGGGCCCTGGTAGCATGTCGTTCTGTTTGATTTTGACAGTGGTCTCCATGAAGCCAGAGCAGCTTCCAATGAGCAGAGGCTCAGGAGCCAGCCGTAATGGCTGAGGAGCAGAGTTTTTCTCTTCCTCATCATCATCAACATCATCTTCACTGCCTCGGGTGTGTTCAGGAACGAGCAGTCCCTAAATAACGAGAAGATTACAAGAACTTAGATTATTATACCAGATAACAATATTAAAATGTTTGTATTATAAAGTGAACTACTGAGAAAATACAACTCTGCCAACATGATGGGAATGGCAGATAATTTCAGTTAGTCATATTTTCTTGTATTACCCTGAACGTAGCATTAGCATTAGAGCTTTGACTTTATTTGAGGTTTCATGTGCAATCTGTTGGCACCAACTGTTTAATCTTCCATTGTCAAACACAGATTCACTTTCACTTTGTACTTTCAGTTAACCACGTATACCAACTGGCTGCTAAATCCTCAAGTTGTAAATGGCTCTCACCTGTGGTTCTCCGAGAGTCTCATAGAGCAGCTTTACAGAGTTTAGTTGGAGGATCTTGTGCAAGAAGGCTGGGGGCTGGTGGATATCTACAGGCACTGTCTGATTCGAGTCTCTCACAGCCTCATCACAGTAATCCAGCCTACAGTATGAGCCACAACCACCAGGAGCAGAATACAGAATACAATAATGTACATAGTATGTTAGTTACAGCCAGCTATTTTGTTTTTGTGATAATTTTTTTTTCTTTTCTGTTGATCAAGCAGCTCTTCGTCACAATAACCCAAAATCAGAGGAGATCAAAAACAACCCCCCTTCCCTCCCCACCCCCTTATTCGGTACATACATTTCTAACTGTTCATTAAATAAATAAGAATAATGAGATAAAAAATGATAAAAAAAAAAAAAGATATTGCATCATATCATTTGTTCTAATCTTTCCATTACATCAACTCAAATCTGTCTCAGTGTCTCAAGAGTAGGTGTTTTAGCCTTGTTACCTCTAGCTGTGGTCAATTCTAACATAACTGTGTTATGTGGTTGAAATAGCCAATGTTGTACACTTAGATTATGTGGCGGAAGCCACCTCTGCTTTTTTTGCCCATGTTAAACCAGCAAGGCATATCTTCCTTTTTTTCCCTGTTAAGTTTAAATTGGAGTCATCGTTAAGCAATAATAGAGCTGGATTCACAGGAATTTCTTGCCCAAGCACAGCAGACATAATGGTAGTATTTTATCCAGAAGTCATGTACACAAAGTTCCCATTTGCTGTTGTGGGCAATGGTTACAGTAAGGATTTACTATGTGACAGCCATCTTCAGACCTGCAAAGCCATTTACAGTGTATGTTTGTTTCGGGGCATTTTTTACTCCGGTCTTGTCTACAGTAAGTAAAACAAATACTCAAGGGGATTCAGGTAAGGTGACTGAGCCAGTCAAGAACAATCCAGTTTCTAGACCTGAAACATGTCTTAGTTGTTTCACTAGTACGCACAGGTCATGGTAATACTAATAAGTGAAGCATCATCAAGTGATGCTTGAGGTATGTGGCTGGATCAAATGGTAATGATTACCACTGCTTGAATCAACTATACCAGCAATTCAATTTCTCAACTTTCAATTAACCAGGAAGGAATTCTACAGACAAAGCATAACATTAATCTAACAAAAACATAACACAGGACATATGTAAGATAAACGTTTAAATTATATGAATTATTTACAAATTTATATATGAATTTTTGAATTATTTAAAGGGACTTAGGTTAAAAAGACTTAATTTTCTTATAAATTCGGTTTACACTAAGTGTGCATTACCCAAAACTCTCACCAGTTATGTATTATGTATAACAACAAGAGTGCTATTAATCATCTCTAACCACAGCAAATTATGTATTTTTTTATGTTGCTACTTGTTTTATTTTGCCATTATTTTATTATGGTTATATTATTTGTTTCTCAACCTGAAAAATAATTGCATGTGTTCAGTGGCTGTTGACTTTTGTATTGACAAAAAGTAGTTCATGGTTAGACAGATCTAACCCACATACCAGATGATGGATGTGTGGCTATTCGGTGATAAACGGAAATTAAGGAAGAGGAGACAAACAGTTTTTGATATTTGACATTCTTACCGTGTTATTCGCATCTCTAAGGCGACCCCAGTCTCAGAATCAAGGGGTTGATGTTCAATTCTCACTATAGTGTCCAAGAAAGTGACTTTTATCCGTCTGAGAACTGTACAGTTCAGAAAGAGAGCACCTCATTAGACTGTTTAATGGCCAAACTGAGAACTGACAGTCAAACTTACCACAACATATATTTTACAGTTACTCCATTTGTCACCATGTCAGGCCAAAAGGACTCCATTTGCTGATACGCACCTGTTTCAATGGTCTGTGCAAACATTTCCAGCCCCTCCAGAGGAGCAGGTGGATCTTCAGATGCCTCAGGTGGGTCCTTCAGACACTCCTGGGCCAGCTGCATGCTGGAGGTCATACATGATGACCAGCCCTGGGAGTCCCAGCTCCCACCTACAATAATACATTGCATGTCATATGATCTGTACATGATTCACTGTACAGAGTAAACCACAATCAATAACTGGTCACAGGGTTTAGTAGATGCAATCCACTCACTGGTTCTGTACTTGGGTCTGCATGTTATCTGTAGCCCGGTGACTTCAAGTGTGCAGTGGTCAGTGACAAGCGCTGCCCATGGTATTGTTACTGCTATACTCTGCACAAAACCTTCAACTATCTCCAGGGGGGCCCCTAGCGACTCCAGCAGCTCGTTCACCGCCTGTGAGAAGACGGATAGCAGAGATAAAGAACGACAACAGCTCACAGAGATATAAAGTAAGAGGCTATTTAAGAGTTTTTTGCTTGAGGATAACTTAAACACATTTCCAAACGCACTAAGTTACTAAAATCCCTTGTAATGAGAACATCTGAGGGCTGACAATGTCTTGGCCACTGGGGACATAGATGTCCAGGCCCAACTCCAGTTAATGAATAGGGATATCTAAACAGCCACCACAGAAAAAGATGGTTTCTCTTATAGACACTCCAAGATTTTGCACACTGACACGGTTGTTCTCAGCTTTCCCAGAAATTGCGAAACACTTCTAAGATGTGTCTCATGGTTACTTTAGAGGAGACTGGCCTGCACAACGTGGTGAACAAACTAGCCAGGTTAACTTACCCACACGTCGAGGTTGATTTCTTTAATGAATCCACTGCCATTGTACAAATCCAAACTCAGCTGTTCCAAACTCAAACGCTCCTCCAAGAAGTGACCGAGGTAATGCTGTAAAAGGTACCGACAGGCCCGCTTCTTTATTGAGCCCGACCAGGGGAAGAACCACCGAGACATAAGTCCAGAGAGAGAGGGGTGAGGGAGTGAAGAGGTGGCGGAGGAAAACAAGTGAGACAACAATCCTCCGGCAACTGCATAACAATAAACACGAAGTGTTGGCTGGCTGAACGAGGTACAAGCAGAGGGTAGACTGGGGTGGCTAGCTAGCTAGGAGACTGGCTAGCGAACTTCCTTTTTCTCTGACACAAAAACGCCGAAATTATTCGAGTCAAGATAAATATTTGTCCCGTGTAGTTTCTTATTTCCTTTAACTAGGTCGCTCCGTAAAGTACGCGGTCCTTCTAATACAATTTATTTCGACTCTGAGCGACAGGTCCTCTTTCGTTTCTCCTTGTTTATTGTTTTCATAGTCAGACTCAAAGAGTGGAGCAGCGTCATTGCGTCACCACAGACGCACGGTCTGCAGGTCAGGAGTTTGGAGAAGCCATTTTGAAAAGGTCACATATGTGCACTATACAGGGATTAAAGTCTTTTTTTTTTTAATTATAATGAATTATCGTGAACCTACTTGTCCATTACTTTTTGCGTTTAGATGAGGTTGTGCCGAGACATTTGCCATGCTTTATGGTAGCATCATTGTGGTACCCCAAATCATCAAAACGATGCCAGTGGAGAAAAAAAAAAGTGAAAAAAGTTTCAAACAGTTGTAAAAGGATGTATGATAACTATAAATTTTATTTTTGAGAACTCCTGGTACATCAGAAATTAAAATATTAAACAAGGGTTGCAACACTTCGAATAAATCAATTACAATGCAACTGTAACAGAATAACAGAAGTGCTTTTAGTGTTTCTAACTCTCAGCACAGCTTGAAGTGTAATACAAAGTCAAGAAACAGAAAATAAAACAATAAAAATTTACATAAAACAAGTTCCTGATTATTTTTTTTCCACACAGCAATTGGATTTGGTAAACAAACAAACAAATCTAAGTTGATCCATCTTCATTTAATGAAAGCGGCTTCTGGTATGGAGCCCTGAGCCTAAGAGAGAGCAGGGATGAAAGAGAAAGTGAGAGAGGCAGACACAGAGACACACAAACACAAACACACACACTAAGATTGTAAGTCTAACACATTTATCACAACAAGCATGTTACAAAATTACAAATAAAACATGATACAATCTATAGGGTTACATTCCTCTGCAGATACGTCTGTTTAGTTTTACCTTGAGTTCTGTAAAGATCTGCACGGCTCGGCTGAAGTCCCATTCACTATGCTGCAGACACCTGACACAAACATGAAAAATATCATAAGCAATATTTAACACACTGCAATGTGTTTGAATAAACTATTTTCTCAAAGTGTGGGACTGAGAGGTTTGGTTAAATGATTTTGACTGATAAATTTACACTTAAACATAAACTAATTTAAACATACTGTATAAACTGCACAACTGTTTCTTGTATTTGTTCCCCTTGAGGTCCATTTTTGCACGATTTTATGTACCAAAAATGGTCACAAAGGTTACAAGATCTTTTTCCAACCTCTATCCCTGAAAATTTAACTGCCGGTTTTTGTAACTGTGCTTTTACTGACACAATAATAATACTGACATGATAAAGGAGCTCTGTTCTAAGCTTCATTTAAAACACACACAACATTATAGGCGGATGTGAGTTGGTTCTCATGACACACGATCACAGAAACAACTAACGCAAAATAGGCTGTTTTTGCAGCTTAGTTTCCATATATGAACTGTGTGGATTAGGCAGAGAATATTACCAATTACTTAACAATACTTAAATATTACAAACTCTTTTACTAAAAAAGGCAGGGGAAAATAGTTTTTCCATGACACAGGCCATTAAAAATGTAATTTTATTTTAGTAACTGGGGAAAAAAACAACTACATATTTCAAAATGTTTATATCCGTTCAAGGACATTTCCATGAAAATGTCCACTCACTTTTGAGACCACTCGAGATTCATCTCAGATTTCTGGGAGAATGCCGAGAGCATCTCTAGCTGAGAGGCAGAAAGGGTGGGCACAGGGCTGCTGGAAGGGGTGGGGGCTGGAGCAGCAAACGCACGGCGGATCTCCTCAGTAGTGGCATTCCTCACAAACAGCTCATCGTTGACTAAACACAGCCTACAAGATAAAAACACACTTATAATATCTAAAAAAAGCTTCTATTTATTTATACAAATTCTAGCTGAGCTCCGGCAAAAGGCTGGGTGTTTAGTTCTCTTGTAGAGACAGGAAATTGCTATAGTCATGTTAAGAATTAAACTAATTACACTTGAAACTTTACTTTATGAAAGCAAGAGAGGCCCCTGTCAACAAAACAGTTCTTTCTTTCATACCCAGAATTCATGGCTGGAACTGCGATAAAGACCCGAGAGAACGCACGAACGGAGTCTCTTGACTTTCCATCCACTAAGAAAGCAGCACAAACAAACAAACAAACAAACAAACAAAAAATCACAAACATTACTTAATGTAATAGAATTAATATGGGCAGAAAAGTTGTCAATACCTTGCATAATGTTTTGCAGGTCTGCAATACATACCTTCTTTAAATACTCCGCTCACTGTGAATGCCAGTAACATTTGCTGTATCAAAAAAAGGAAGAGGGAAGAACCATCAATAAGTTTGATGACAAAAGCTAATGAGACTTAAAGGAGACTCTTTAAATAAAACTGAACAGGAACTCACTGTGTAGGTGTTAACATCCACACTGAAAGAAGCTGTGTCATGCTGAGTCTTTGGGAGTTCATTTAGGAAGGCGACTACATTAAGTCGATTGTGCTTTAACAAGCGGAACCGTGTGGCTGTCAGGAAAGTTCAAAAGGAGAAGCTTTTCAGGTACAGCCATCAGCAAATCTCACCATTTTTTGTTTAGCCATCACTACATTTGCTACTTTTCTTAAGGGGACTCTTCCAACACATACATCTCATTGCATTCTTGCAGAGGATTAAGGATTAAGTGATGCCTACTCTGAAAATGAAGACAAGGACTAATTTTATAATGAAGCTATGTGAACAGCTGACAGCAGCCTTGCTGACTGATTGTTGCAGTGCTGATGTAAGATCCATCATTCTTCACCCACATCCTAACACATGGCCTATAAAATACTAGTCTCTACAGAACTGGGAACCACATAAATTAAAATTACATACTTACCAGGATCTTTGACTTTTTTAATATTGCGACTGTCTTTGTGATAGTCTCCCAAACTAGACCTGTGATAGTAAAGAAAGGCTAAGAGTTAAAGAGGGTAGAAAAATGAGAATGTACTTACAGTACTGTGCAAAAGTAAAAATAATTTCATCTTTCATTTATTTATTTTTTTATTCATTTCCAGTCAAAATGTATAAGGAGGATTTTCTCAGGAGATATTTCTAAAAATCTCACATATAAGATATTTCACTTGCACTAGGTAGGGGAACGTCAACAGAAAGTTACACAAGGAAAATGAGATCATGACGGTGAAACGGTTACCATTTATCCATGAAATAATCATGAACAAAATAAATCCTAAAAATAAATGTGCAAGTGTTTTGGTCCATCCTACCGCTGTGAGAGGACGATGCTGAAAAGACGTGTAGCTGACAAGCCGTTTGTATGAAAATGAAATATAAAAAAAGGAAAAAAAAGAAAAAAGAGAAATATTCAAATCAACCAAAAAAAGCTGCTGGTGTGCTCAGAACAATGGACTGGCCACCCCAGATTCCAGACCTCAACATCACTGAATGTGTTTGTCAAGACTGAACTTTGGAGGTGTGGAAAATATCCCTAGAGATTTCACTGGGAAAACTAGAAGCAAGTCTAGAAATTAATGGAAACTGTAACAAAGGCAAACGGTGGACACACTATTGAAAAATGTGATAATACTTAGTTGTTGAGGAGTCTGGGTATTTTTCTTTTAAATATATTTTCTGCTTTTTCCCCTAGTGAAAAATGAATAACTTCCTAAATGTCCATTTTGACTGGAAATTACATAAATGAAGGGTGGTCTCTGACTGTTACACAATGTTGTGCATTTAATATTGAGAAAGAACTGAATGTGGGTTGTGTACCATGTTCGGTACTTAAAAGGGACAACTATGCACCTGGAAGGATTGTGCATGGAGAAAGGAAGACTGAGAGAGAAGCAGGCTCCTTCATGATAGGCGTCCAGCAGAGGCTGTCTGTCTCCTGAGTCATACACGCTGTAGTATCTGTAATAAAACAGGCAAACCTATTACAAAAGACTCCAGTCTATCAAGCATAGGGTAAAGAAGAACAAACAATTTGAAAAACATTTGAAAAATCTCAAGCGCACAGACTTACTGTTGCAAGAAACGGAGGATGAATTCCTTGATTTCGTCTGAACCAAAGTGACTGCCCTGAAAAGACAAACCCCATTAAAACATGCAGTTCTTCATATTCATCATAACCCATCTCAATGAATGAACAGCATACCTTACAGGGAGGAATTGTAGTGCCAGTTTCAACATCAAAGCCTATTGGTGCAGGAAGATCATGGCCATCCTGCAGGTAAACAGCGCAGAGAATGGGAAAAAAGTACAACAGTAAGACAATATTTTACTAGCAAAACTATGGTTTATTACGACAACATTCAACAGCTTATTTAAGACTGACATGGAGCTTAGAACTGAAGGCAGAGTGCAGTTTCTATCTCCTCAAAGCATTACTGTCCAGTGGATATTACAGATGGCAAAGAGGGTTTAAAATAAGGTTAGCAATATATAAAAAAACAAAGTCAGATAAAAAGAATAAAAAGAATATGGGCGGGGGTCTTACCAGTTTTAGGAGCCTGGGGAATCGCTCACGAATAGCGCTGTCAACAGGAAAAAAGGTACAGTGTTAGATCTGAGCTTATAGCAAGGCATATTTACCCTGCATTCACATTCATGCACAGGTCATACATTTACAAATTAAAACAATAAAAGATATATTCCCAATCAACAGTGTCAGAAAAGATCAGTTACATCATATGTAAACATATAAAATGTAAAATAAAAAAGGAAATTTGTATGAGAAGATACTGAAGAGATAAAATCGTTACTGCACTACCCTTCCAGCAAGGTCTGTCACAATTATTACATAGGTGCCTGACTGCCAATATTTTCCAGTTTTTAGAATTTACAATAATACTGTGTTGTAACAAACAGAATGTGAAACGGGTATATTTTCCTTATATTGGTTGCGGCAAACAAACAAAGAAACAGTTCTAGCTTTTAACGGGTGCCAAAACACATTTAGAAGAACAATTGTTTGTTAGAGAAACATTAGGTTGTTACTTAGGTAGCTAATGTTGTTAATGTTGTTGCTTGTGGATTGAGTGTTATACAATAATAAAAGAAATAATTATTATAATAATAAACAGAATGTATTTGGTAGGGGTGGGAATCTCTAGGCACCTCATGATTCGATTACGATTCAGAGGGCTGCCATGCGATTATAAAATGATTATCGATCGTTTTTTCTATAAAAACGATATTTTTTTTCTATACAGGATTTCTATTTTCTTACTGTGTCAGGACTTGGTACTTTTAAAGCAAAGTATTTGTAATGATCTATAATAGATTTACTTCCAATATCTTTTTTAATAAAACAAATGGAAGTGATGTGGCAAGTGAACTAGAAGGCTCTCATTCACTGCTATTGCTTGGAGCACATGAGACGCTGCTACCACTCATCTGCGATAAAATGCACAGTTACGGTTAAATAAGATCCAGTGGTGATGGATGTCCACGCAGCACGTTACGGCCATCCTGCCCGGTTTTCTTTAGTGATTTTATAACTTAGGTTTTGGTCTTGTTGTAGAGACGGGGGGATCGCCGTGTCAGTAAAATATCTTCGGGACGTGTGCAACATAGTGCGAAAGCGTAGAGCGTTTTCGTTTATATTTTAACCTAACTTATAGCAGGACATTAACACATACTGAGACATACTGGACATAAATGTTGTGGCTGCCAAGGTGGTTTGATTTTTGTTTAAAGGACAACATGTCTCTTCTTAACATTTGTGCTGTGACTCCTGACCTAACCTGGCTTTTAATGCAGAGGGTGCCGATCGGATTTCTCGATCATCCATGTGTGTTTTTGTTAGGTGCACCTCACAGAGTGTCCGGGCGCTGCACTTCCGCACTTCCCGGGTCTGCCTTTTGCTTTCCGTCAACATTACGGTATAAATTAAATATTTAGAAAATCGATTTTTGACATTTGTGAATCGATTCAGAATCGTTCACGTCCGCATCGCGATGCATGTAAGAATCGTTTTTTCCCGCACCCCTAGTATTTGGTAATACTGCATGTATAGTTTGTCAAATGTCATTCTCTTCTTGTCTCTCAGGTTACGTCCCATGTCCCAGCCCACTTAATTTAATCACTTCAAGCACTTACCAGCTGCTGCAACCCATCTACACCCAGATATATAGAGAAACACACATTTTAAAAACCCAAAGCCTCGGACATACAGGAAAATCTGTATGTACGTGCGCGCAGCACACACACACACACACACACACACACACAAACACACAGTGTACATATGCAGTGTCTAAAAACCAACACCACAGAAGATTTTGTCCGCATGTCTCTGGCTTACACTGACAGCACAAACAACACAGACTTATGTAACTGATCCTTCAGGTACACACACACACACACCACACACCACACACACACCACACACACACACACACACACACAAAACAATAAGGTGAAGTGTGCCTCACATCAGAAATTTTAAGAGAAATTACAGAACAGAGCTGTAGACAAAGGGTTTTTTACCAACAGGAAAAAGACCAAGGTATTTAATAGGAATCACAAAGAGCAAGAAAGCCAATGCTACATTAAAACATTCAGCATCAGCTTGATTGCAGACCACCATTAGAGAGAAAAACCATGAGTAAAAAATTATGAATTCGGCAAGCGTCAGAGCAGGCTGAGGAGAAAAAGGCGATGCTGTTGACCACCCTGATTGGACAAGAGAGGTTTGTGAGGGAGAGAAGCAAACAGTGAAGTTGACCTCAATAACTCCACTACAGAAGCCATTCTCTTCAACCAGTAATGATTCACTCATAAGCTCATAATCAGCTAACCTTTTAAATCTTGCTACACAAGGAAGGTAAGCAGGGACTGTGATACCCCAAAGAATATCCCAAAGAAGTATTTGTATTTAGCCTTATTTCAAAGACAGCTGAAGGAAAAAGATGTTAACTGGCCCTTTCAGGTCAGCTGAAAGTGCATACTTTTACCCCCTATGTCACTGTTTTTCATCATCAGTCATATTGCTTTCCAGTGCGGTTCCTTTGGAGATTTTTCTCCCCAGGTTGGTGTAGCACCATCACGTCTCATGTTTTTGAGGTGCTGCAGAACACTGTGAAAGCTCTGCTGAATTTTGGTGTTGCATAGACCAGTTCCCCTCCTTCCAAACAGTTTTACTTTTACTCTTTGTTGACATCAAGTCTTTCTTGCAGAGGACTTCCTCCATTTAAGTGCACATTTCATGTATTTTATGGCCAGTTATTACGACTGTGCCTGCCTTAGGTTGCCCCAGGTGCAGTAGGTGGGATCTTACCCGTCATTGGCTAACCAGCCTTCCTTACTGGCCAAAAGCAGTGCTCTGATTGGAGGGACAACATGAGGGGAGGGAAAAAGGTGAGAAATGAGGAAGCAACACTGAATTAGAAATGCATAGCACAGAAACATGACCAAACTCCACAGAAGTCACAGTCATACCACCCCTTTATGTTATCTGTCCCAGATGTTAGTGTTACTATTGTTGTCCAGAGGGGGCTTATTGTTTTTTTTCCCGTTCTATATCATTTAAAATCATTCAACTGCCTTGAAACATGTCCAAGATTTACCTTCCATCAGTACAGTATAAATGGTTATCTATAGTGGAACAGGTCAACTTCATATTTAACTGTCTCTTGAGAACATGGTGCACACAAGCAGACGTCTCCAGTAAGAGAGAGCTGAAAAAGTCGAGGGAGGGAGGGAGGGAGAGGGGGGAGAGAGAGAGAGAGAGAGAGAGAGAGAGAGAGAGAGAAACAGGCTGCTGCGTTTCTGCTCCATAACTGTGGCTGCAAGTTAGAGAAATGTTAACATCACACAGTCAGCTCAGAAAATAGAAAGATTGCAACTGCAGAAAATTCTTGCTAACATGCATGCAAATAGTGATTAAAATGAAATTCACGTTATTTAGTCGAGCTTAGCAAATGAATATCACCCTAAATTAAACTAAATCATCAACATACAATGCATCCACCTCATGTTGCTTCTTTACAAATCCCTTCAGCATTAAGAAAATCCCTACAAATATATTCTTTATTCTTCTTGAACATTCATACTTTTGAGGACTGCTACTGCACGCTCCACACGACTACTGGTCTAACCTCACCAAATAACACCACTGTTCCTTCTTTTTTCCTCATTGCTTTAGGCTCAATGTGCAGAGGCAGAACTGAACCTGAACTGACTCAAGTCAATCTGCTGTTTCACATCATCATGAGCTGTTAAATATTGATACTTTATTCCACTAAGAATTCAAGTAGATTCCAGCCCTAGAATAATATACCATCACATAAGAATCTTAAACACAAGATGCCTATCCACTGAAATCTGACACGTTAAAAATCTTTCTACTGATATTACTGCACCTGCGTGGACTTAAGTACTGAGATGGCTGCAATGGGGGAAACAGCACTGACCTGATGTATGTGGACTGGTCTTTGAAGTGATCACACAGAGGGTTGCGATCCAGCCACAGCTCTGTCAACTTAAAACCCTTCACTCTGTCCAGCTCCTTCTCTGACTTTAGCTATAGCAGAACCACAGAGAGAGAAAATACACATGCACCTAATATGTTTACACGCACTTGGTTAATCAGATAATGGGAAAATTCTGGGTCTACGAGTCATGCAGTATTTCTGCTTTGCAACTGGCTAATAAACTCACAGAAGAAGATGTGACGGAAACATAATGTAAAACTTAAATTCAATTACTAAAGATTGCGCCACTTTACCTGAAAATATGAACATATCTACAATATCTACAAGATGAAGAATATTTAATTTTTTCATTTTGTCAAGTATGTAGTTAGTTTTGGTGTCGCTCCAAAAATGTTTTTTTGCAGTCTCGTGGTCGCTGTGCTAAACGCTGCTTATTTCCAGTACCGCGGTCCGTTTTCGCACATGCACAGACCCAAAAATCCGAAAGAAATCCAACTAAAAGTATACATGTGCTGAGAAATCAGATTACTGAGCTAATCTAGCTCTCTTTATCAGATTTCTTAATCAGACTTGTAGACCTTACATTGATCTAAGAAATCAGAGTCTGCTGTTTACACGACTATTTGAATAATCAGATAACTGCAGAAATCCGGTTATGATCATATTATTAGATGCAAGTAAATGCAATTACTGACTCAATAGCTTGAAACAGTGTTGGGCTCAAGTTTATTTTAATTAGATCAATTCAGAACAAACTAAACTCACAAAGCTAAATAGAAATGAGTTTGAATTGTGAATTTTTCAGTACTGTATTAACTTGTCATAGGGCAAGTGCTTGAATGTTACTGTGTCACCTCATTATGGGACAAGTTGAGTGTCTTTATGTTGGGTGCTTTGTTCACCAGCTCTGCCAGATCGTCCAACTTGTACAGTTTGTTATTGCTTAGGTTGAGACATGCCAGCTGCAGACAATATGAAAGAGGTAGAGGTAGAGAGAGAGGTAGAGAGAGAGGTAGAGAGAGAGAGAAAGAGATAAAATACTAAATCAAAAGGTAGTGTTAATGACCTTCGCTACCATGGTTTGTTAAAATGATGTACAACAAAACAAGTCGGAGCATTTTGACAGTTTTTCAGACACAAATCTCAGTTGCTCGCTCATGTTCAGTAAAACACTGCAAGATTGCCCTACTGAAGCATGTCTCTGCATAAAGAGGAATTTCAATCAAAATCTCTGCATAGCTTGATCACTAAGATGTAAACAAAGTCATTCAGATGGAAATGCTTGAGAAGCTTAGAGAGTCAGAACTGTTCACAGTGGTGGTGATATAAACCAGATGTCTGAAAAAGGTTTATTGCATCTAAAACCACCTTCACAGAAAGCTATTACATGGACAATTTGTGAATATGCTTCCTAATGCCTGAGACATTGTTTTATGATAGTCCTGAGATGATGGGGATGGGCTACTTAAAGTGGGGGGAAAAAGTCAGGCGGACACTATTTAGGGTTCAAGCATGCAATGCATTGAACCCTATTGTAATTGTCAAGATTTTTCTTCATATTCTTTTTCTTCCCTGAAACGGAATGCACAGCCCAAACCGTAAGTCCTAGAGAAGATTCTGAGGTAGCCATTCGATTTTTGTGCGCATATGTCATTAGGGGGCGGAGTTAATGCTACATGGCTGTTTCTCAGCATCCGTGCATCCGATCAGGCTGAAACTTTGCAGATACCATCTGCTGGCCAGACTATAAGTGAATCCATAAGGACAATTTGATTAATTGAAGTATGTGGTCGCCATCGGCCAATCAGCATTTAGCAGGCTTTTGACAGGCTTACCATTGACCAATCATCTTGAAACTTGAATGATCTCTACCTGTAGCCACTTTCTAACAACCAATCAAGTTTGAAAAAATTTGACCACTGGGGGGGCGCTATTAATAAAAATTAACATATTATTACATATTATTACTATTTTCTTAGAAGATTGCTTGAAAATCCTTGTGTATCATATGTAGTATGTTATTGCAAACAATTTTGCAAATGCATATTTATTACAAAACTGCAGTTTTTTTGTAATTGGTAACTGTTTAAAAAGCCTACTTTTCGAATTAGTCCCTGGATTTTGATCCAATCTTTTCGAACTTGGTCTGGAAAAATTCTTTGGCATCTCTAGGTAAATAATTACCAAAAACATGTTGACTTTTCTACTCAGGGTCGTGTGGATCAATCAATAAATTACTGTGGCCATGGCTTTGCTAACTTGATTAGCTATAACTCAACAGTCATTGGTCAATCACATCCAAACTTTAAGGACTTGTACATATTTGGACTGTAATGGTGTATGCCAATGTTGGTCCAGATTGGCCTTTAGGGGGCGCTTTAGCACTCAAAAACACTTAAAAAAATCAATTAAAATGTTATTACAATGTTATTACAATGTTATTACAAGGTCAACAGATAAACAACTCAGGTTACTCACATGAACAACTTTCTAATTACATGTTATGTCACAAATTGTACTGTTTGTCTGGTATTTTGGCTTATTCATTCGAAGTCTATATTATACGAAGGTTTATTATACAAAGGTCAAAAGGTCAATCTGACCAAAACATCTTTGGATATGGTCCCTGATCAAGAATCATTCCATTCTGTGGCCTTTTCACTAATTCTGACCTACTTTCACTGAGCTCATACTTTACTTTAGTCCTATGTTTCAGCTTTTCATCTTTTTCAACTTTACTCATATTTTTGCCTGTAACTTTTGATCAGAGTGAGATAGAGACAAAATTCTTTTTTCTGCTGATTCCTTGGGACTTACTGAACAAGTGCACTTCCAGTCAATTTTGCCCCACCCCCTTAGTTTTTGAGCTAATTTGCATAATGTGAAAAACCTATTCTTGCGAACTAGTCTCTGGATTTTTTGCCAATTTTCATCAAATTAGTACCATAAGATTCAGAAGACACTGATCCTCAATAATTATCAAAAACATTTTGACTGTTCCACTCAGTGTATTGAGGATCAACCAATTAATTACTGAAAACATGGCATTGCTAGCTTGATTTGCTATAACGCAGTCATTGGTCAGATCATCTCCAAACTTTAAGGATATTTACATATTTAGACTTCAATGGTGTCTGCCAATTTTGGTCCAGATTGGCCTTTAGGGGGTGCTTTAGCACTCCAAAACACTGAAAAATCAATTAAAATGCTATTACAATGTTACTACAAGGTCGACATATAAACAATTGGTGCCATCGGACTCAGTTCACTGACTCAGATCACACACAAAACTTAGTGAACGTCTTTGGATATGGTCCCTGATCAAGAATGATACCATATTGTGGCCTTTTCACTAATTCTGACCCACTTTCACTGAGCTCCTCACACCAACAGGGCCTCTTATGAATGCATTGGGCCTCATTATGGCCTACATGAAATCAATGGCTTGAACATAGAACCAATCCACTGTGCAAGTGCAACTTCTTGGATGTTCTACAGATGTAAAGGAGTGTAGATCAGTACATATGAATGCAAACCTATAATGTGTTTAAAACACCACTGCTTCTTGTTTATGGCAACTGAAGGCCTTTTGATGAACTGACTTCCTATTAGTTCTGTTCACTCTGCCTATGAATAAGACCCATAGCTTGAGGCCTTTTTAGGTCTAATGGGCTAAACGAAAAGCTTGAGGCCTTTTTAGGCCTAATGGGCTAAACCTGCAGGAGGGCCCATACTGCTGTTGCATGCTTGAACCCGCTCATTGCCGCTTGCGGCTATATTTCTTCTTATTTTTTTGTTGTATAATACTGGGTGCTGTTGGACAATGAGACATTCATCTACAGCTCTCATAAAACCAACAGCGGGATTATTTCACACCCACAGGTCAATTTAAAGGTTGAAAAACCTGAACTCTAAATGGAATGTTCTGCTGACTGCTGCAGGACTGGCGGTGGCAGAAATGTTCATCCCTTCTTCATTGAAAAGTAAGGAGCCTTGCTGGTGACATCCCATATAAATAAAAACAACCGGCCACGACTTAGTAAGGTGTGGGAACAAGACCATGCCTCACAAAGTCGTGGCCACGCATTAGGATCTCATTCCCACGCCTTACTAAGTCATGGCCACGCAATAGGATCTCAGTCCCATGCCTTACAAAGTCGTGGCCATGCATTATTTTTACTTATACAGGATGGCGCCAGCGGGGCTCTGTAGAAAGGAATAGAATGTCCGATTTCTCGTCAAAATTCTACAGTCGTAAATGCAGTATAAGTGCCATGCATTTCACTTGTTTCATAAATGGTGTACAAAAGGGGGGCAATAATAACCCTCCTAATATGGCATATTATAGAAAAGAGTGGTACTTTAAACCCAATTCTTACTTGGAAATCAGCATTAGTGAAACAGTCTTACCTCTGGAATATTTTCCTCGATGATCTTAATCACAGCCTGCATGCAGCTCCTCCTGCTCAAAATCACCTCGATGTTCTGAGACACTAAAGCTGAGAAAGACATCACAAGTGCAATTCTCTCTTTCACAAAAGGTGCTCTGTGATTTGTGCAGGTGTTTCTGCTTTACTTTCAGTAGTGTCTAAATATTCTACACAATTTAAAAATCAAAGACTTACCTGGATCGGTGCGAATGCTGTTCAGATTGAGATACTGCTTGGAGCGATCAAAACGCTTGGACATGCATTGCTAACATAAATACAGGAGTTACTTCAATTTTAATTCAATTGTATTATTTTCCAGATAAAACATCGACTAAGGGCTGATCTCTCTCACTTTTAAGTGCTCCAGGTCCTGCTCTTTAAGGTCACTCTGGAGGAAGGAAGGAGGTGGGCAGGGGTTCATGAACACAACCACCTGAACAGAAAAAAATAAAAATAAAATAAAAAAAACACCATAAGACACATCTTTATTTTAAGAAATACTTTGTTCAAACAATACTGAGGGCGATAACAACTAATGAAAGCTTATTAACTGAGCTGTACTAGATTTACTCATTATTTGTAAAGTTTGTAAAATACTCTTAATACCAAATTAAACACTAGTAAAAGTGAACAATTTCAAACACAACAAAGTAAAATCATTTTAAAGCAGCTGTTTAAAACAGAAAAAAATGCGTCATGCCTTATATCCTTCAGTATCTGTGATCCTGCGAGTGAGTTTGCACAGGGCATTAGCAGAGGTGGCATCATCTAAGTAGAACTGCACTTTCTGCCCCTCTGTGGAGTACTGTACACACATCGGAGAAAAAAAACGCATAACAATAACATAAGTGGAGTTAATTCCACAATTAATCATTCTCCACTGACAAAAAAAAAAATAAATAAATAAATAAATATATATATATATATATATATATATATATATATATATATATATATATATATATATATATATACACACATATATGTGTAATGTGTGCCTAATTATTAAATATACTATATGCACAAAAGTACTGTGACACCTACACATTACACCCACAGAAGCTTTTATGACATCCCACTCTAAATCCACAGACATTAATATTGGAGTTGGTCCCCCCTTTGCAGGTATAACAACTTCCACCCTTCTGGGATGCTTTCTACAAGATTTTGGAGTGTGTCTGTGGGAATTTTTGCCCATTCATCCAGAAGAGTATTTGTGAGATCAGACACGGATGTTAAATGAGAGGGCCTGGCTTACAATGTCTGTACTATTCATCCCAAAGGTGTTTGATGGAGTTGAGGTCAGGGCTCTGTGCGGGCCAGTCAAGTTCTTCCATCAAACTCACCCAGCCATGCCTTTATGTACCTTGCTTTGTGCACTGAGGCACAGTCATGCTGGAACAGAAAAGGGCCTTCCCCAAACTGTTCCCACAAAGTTAGAAACATAGAATTGTCCAAACTGTCTTGGTCTGCTGAAGCATTAAGATTTCCCTTCACTGGAACTAAGAGGTCTAGGCCAACCCCTGAAAAACAACCCCATAGCATTAATTCCTCCACCAAACTTTGCAGTTGACACAATGCAGTCAGGCAGGTACCGCTCTCCTAGCATTCGCCAAACCCAGACTTGTCCAACAGACTGCCAGATAGAGAAGCGTGATTCACCACTCCACAGAATACGTTTCCACTGCTCCAGAGTGGTCCATTTTTTGCTCCATTTTGGTCTTAGGTATGTGTGTGGCTGTATGGACAATGGAGACCAATTTTATGAACCTCCTGATGCACAGTTTTTGTGCTGATGTTCATGCCAGAGGAGGTTTGATTATTGAGTCAGCAGAGCGTTGGTGAAGCACTATGTGCTTCAGCACTTGGTAACCGCACCCTGTAACTTTACATGGTCTGCTACTGAGTTGCTGTGGCTTCTAAACACTTCCACTTTTCAATACCACTCACAGTTGATTGTGGAATGGTTAGGAGGGAAGAAATTTCACAAACTGACTTGTTGCAAAAGTGGCATCCTATTACAGTACCACGCTTGAGTTCAGTGAGCTCCTTAGAACGACCGACTTTTTCATAAATGTTTGTACAGGCAGACTACACGGCTAGGTGCTTATCTTTACACACCTGTGTGAATGGGACTGAATAAAACACCTGAATTTAATGATTAGGAGGTGTGGCCCAATACTTTGGCCACATAATGTATGTCTATGAGAGTGTGTGTATGCATGCATGCATGCATATGTGCATATACTCACACACACACACAAAATTTGAAAATGCCAGCTGCAGTTCATAACTTGTCAATTTCATGACAAATGGACCAGCAGAAATGGTCCAAAATGACTCATTACAATAATACAAGACTTAATTCAGTCAGTAAATGCTAAATTGCTCATTGTTGTGACCACTATGCATCTAAAGTTTACTCACGTGTATTGGACTAAAAGGTAAAGGGCAGAGATTCTGCAGTGCAGTAAGAAGCCACTTCTTATCATATTTCTTGCCATACGGTATCTGTCAAAGAAGAGACATGATTCAAACCTGACTTTTAGCAGATCAAAAAAAAAAAAAATTAAAAATTAAAAAATTGAAAATTCATCATAGCCATTTAATTTCAGACAGGCCCTCAGTTCCATTATCTTACCGTTATTTTGAACCAACTTCTGGACTTTTCTGAGTTTGTTCCTCCACCTAGTCTTGTTGCATCCCCCATTGCTCCACTTCCTCCTGCTGACCTGTATCCCATGAATCCCCCTCCACCTCCTCTTTTGTCTCGATCAAATCTGCCATCTCTTCGGTTTGGCCTTCCATAAGGATTACTTTAATAAACAAACAAACAAACCATACATGACCATATGAGATTTTCAGCACTTACTTCACTAAACTGACGGAAATCGTTCAGTACAAGCTCTGATATTACCTTCAGTTTAATCACAAAGGCTACAATGCCATGACTGCATTAACACACAAGCACACATACTCACAATCTCCGCTGGGACACCCCATCTTGGCCATCACTCATAGTCACATCACCATCTTCATCCTCAAGCCTGCTGCGGGGTCCAGCGCCAAAGCCTCCCACAGGACCACCCCGGAGCCGCTGACGTACTGGCTGGCTGGGCATGTGACCTCTGAAGGGTCCACGACCCTTGCGATTACGGAACTGAGGGCCACCCACACGGTCATCATGCTCTGGACCACATAGATGATGTTGGATAAAATCAATATCAATTCCTCTTAGCGCCTTTGGCGGTCTAACACTTGTCTGAAAATGCCTTTTTTTTATTTCAACTGTTCAATGAGTAACTGTACATTGTTGCTATACTCAAACATTATTTTGGATTTATACTTTACTCCAGTATTGCTGAAACTGAATACTTGTTCTTTTACTTAATTACATTTCCAAAAGAATTTTTTTTCCACCCATTTTCTCTCCTTACATATTAATTTTTGACTGGCAAAGTACTGTTTTTATTAAAATATCCAACTATATTTATATCAGTATAAAATGACTCTGCTCACGACTTTGTTAATTTGTCTACTGGTACTACCAATTAGAAGAAGATTTTTAATTTTATTTGTTAATCTAATTTTTACTTGTGTGCATCTGAGTATCCATCAATCGTGATAATTTACTTTCACTCAAGAATATTTTTGGCTCCATACTTCCACTTTTAACTGACTGAGGTTTTGACAAAAATACCCAACTTTCACTTATCATTTTGTATAATTTCTCTTTGTCCACCTCATTTTCTTATTTGTGGGTGTTTGGATTGGTCTCTGTGGTAACAGTAGTTATTTCAATATCTGTGTAAAATAATTTGGGTTATTTGTAGTGAAACATCATAAGTGTAGTTAATGATTTAAACAACAAAATAAAAATGACAATAACAATATAAACATAAACAACTGAAAAATGACAAGAGAAGAATAATCATTGATGTAATGAAAACACCGCACAGTGAAACTTAAAAGTTGTATAAAAGGGCTACAAATATACTTAAACGTGCTGGAACATTAACTTTACACCATGTACCTACAGTAATCAACAACAGCACAAATCACTCAGTGATAGTCAAATAAGCTACTGTGTTGAATTCTTTACAGTCATAATCGTGTTTTACACGTAAACACAATCTTAAATCAACAGGCGCTTTTCTGCGGTCGTGCATGCTAATGCGAACACTACTTAAAAGAAACATCAACAAACAATAATAGGTTACACTAACGTTGTAACTTAATAAAGTCAGGACGCCTCCTAACAACAGCTATAAACAGTACAAGTATTCCCCTGGGAGAAGGCAGTGCAATAACAAGAGAAAGGAACACCAACCAGGCTGAAGTTGCTTCTTGTTCGAGTTTTCCCGTTCCACCTTAAAATGTGCAGTAATACCTTCTGGCGCCTGAAGGGTCATAATAACAACTGCTGTACCAGTTAAGGTGGAACGAACATTCGAACAAGAAGCTGACTTCAGCTTCGTGGACCATCATGAACGAAAACAAATGCCTGTTTTTCTGTTTACCTCCTGGAAAGCTGACATTGCTCCAGACCTCTCTTACACCGGGAACTCCATCAACATCTACAGAATGAGGAGAGACTGTATTCAAATCTCAGCGCACTTCATGGTGTTATTCTCACTTACCACTGTAGAAGCGGCCAGCTTCCGCCATGTCCGCACCTGAACACGGTCAGTTTGATAAACTGCCCGTGTCTCCCGACTAAAGACTAAGTCCACACTGCTTTCAGGCAGAGACGACCATTTTAACCGCCATCACGCTTTACTTAACATTATGTTATAGTGGTCGGCGTAGTCCACTGCTGCGCACTACGCCAAAGCCCACTGTTTAAAAAATACACTACCCATCATCGCCAGCGGCGATGTATTTTACTTCCGGGTTTTTCTGACGTACTAGATCGACCCACTACATGCTTTTTAAAAAGAATTTGTGGGAATTAATCTACACTCTTTCGTTGTCGTTCAGTTAGCATATATATATACATATATAAAAAAAAGAAAAAATCGTGTCTTGTACAACAAAACAATGACAAATTGAATTGAAAACACGTTTTGTCGAGCTAACCTGCTATGACAGCGCGCTCACAGCACTTACTTCATTCAGAACACTGACGTTAGTCAGAAGACGCTGAAAGTAATAAATAACCACGAAAATCTTTCAAACATGTAAGGAAAGATTTTCAACAACCCCAGTAATTTGTCTCCAGACCGCTTTAGCCTTGGGTTATAACGAACCAGGGTTAACTAGCGGGAACAGGCACTTTAAGGGCGGGAAGGTAATCTTGGCTGGCTAACGTTACGTTAATTAATCAGCTAATTAGCGTTAGCCTCAGTGCATTCTCTATTTATCAGTACAAAACTGCAAATCCTTGCCTTCAAGGACTAGAACATGGTCCCGCTTACAAAACATCGAGTTAGCAAACTTCTCAGATTACCTTCTTCTAGAAAGTCTGGGCGAACACGTGTAACCACAGCGAGATTCTGGTACCATCTGCGGAACGGAACCATCTTCTTTCAGCACCGATATTTAATCCAGTTGGCGCTGCAGTTGAACACACTTAAGTCTAATAAAGTAAAAACGACAAACACCTGCACATTTTACTCTTCTTCTGAAGCACACAGAACAACCTGTTCGTGATGTGTCAAAACCTTCATACACGACTGCAAAAAACCGTTTTTTCAGAACTTCGAGAAAAAGACTCACAAATGTTCACTCTAACCTGCAAAATTAAAGACAAAGTGGCACCACCTAGTGGAACTATTAGGCAAAGCAAAGAGACTGTTCATTACACCCTTAACAAAAATATTTATTCATGTGTTCTTTAGTAAAGGCAATGGTTATACGAACAACCGTGACAACTCCAAGAACCATTTGAAAGCATAAATCGTTCTTGTCTATGATGGAAAATATGTTATATGTTTCTTTAAGCGGGAATTCCATTGTTATGTGTTTTTTTTTTTAAATTTCTGCATATTAAGATTATTCAAACATAAACAAAGCCATTCAGAATGGCATTTTGTAATGTTTTGTTCTATATAGTACCAAAAAGTTCTTTGACTTGTAAAAACAGTAGAACCCTTTTTGATGCTATATAGAACTGTATTTTTAAAAGCTTCTTTAAATGTGCGTTTCACTATTTTTCTCAGTTTCTGCATTATGAAATCACTGTTGTGATAGGAACCAGATGTCCAAAGTGTTTAATGCCTCTGAAAGCTACTTCATAGAAAGTTAGTACAAAGTAAGGCAAAATAGTCCCCAAAGATGAGTATTTTACCATTATCAGCATTACATATAAACTTAGAAGACATGTAGATTCACAGGTCATTTTGAAAAGTGAATAAAATTTCTATGTTTGTGTTGTAGACATTGTGACCCCTGGTTCCTATCACCACCACTGTAAAGAAATCAGAGTTGTTAAGCTTCTCTACAATGAACCATTTCACATCAGGACACTCTCAATGACTTTGTTTACATCTCAGTGATTTCATTATGCAGAAATTATGAAAAATGAGTAAAATTCACATTTAAAGAAGCTTTTAAAAGAGGGTTCTGTACAGCACCAAAAAGTGTTTGGCTATTGTCACAAGTCAAAGAGCACTTTTTGGTACTATATAGAACCTTTTTTTTGCTAAGATTGTACGTCTCAAATTTATACAAGAAGAGTCTTGTCAGCACAGGTGCAACAGCATTTTGTTTAATACCAGACTTTTTTTCTCAAGATTTAATTGATATTGCCACTTAAAAATGAACTAAGATTAACAAAGGAGGAACTATTTAAGTTAGTTTTTAAAATAACACATAAGGAATTTACATAGTTAATCACCAGCACAAAATGATATTACAAAAATACTATAAAACATAAAAAAGTAGGGTTCCACAATTACAGTCCAGTCCAGGGTGATCAACCTGTTATAAATGCTTAACATCACAGTCTGGCAGTGTTGTTTAAAAATAGTTATTGGTGTGAAATGAACAGCACAAAAACGGTAATCCAGCATCAGTCAAGGTGATTGCTATTTGTAGTTTCCTTTAACAAGTCCGATGGTGGCTGGTGTAGCTCAGACTGGGGTTGATTAAGTCTCTCTGTCTCCTTGTGGTCAGTCTGTGGGTTTTGGCTCTTCATGTTTTCACTTGTAGCTTCCTTGATGGCCTCACGCAACAGAGAGGTTAGGGAGTCCAGACCAATGAGGTAGCCATCCTCATGGTTCCCCTCAACCCATGGAACATCGTGTTTCAGACATATGTTTTCAGGTGTTGGTATGGTCTTCCCAAAATCAATCATCCATATGTTGGCCTTGCCGGTGTGATCGTGTACAAAAAGAAGAGAGCCTCCTATGACCTGTGGGGAAACATGCACAGGGAGTTATTTAAAGGGTGCCAAATAAATGGAAGAAGGCTTTATTTGGGTAAAATTATTCATTGTGAAAAGAAAGTGAAATGCGACAGTCATATTAGAAAGAAACTGCAGATGTTCTGTTTCACCTCGTGGCTGCTGAAAAAGGCAGATTCCTTTAAAGTCTCTTTCAGGGCCTCTAGTCTGGACTGATAGGCCTTCTGTCATGCATACAAAATGGGGAAAAAGATTTTTTGAAGTTTTTAAAGGCATTAATTCTAAATAACAACAGCAGTACACTTAAAAGATGAGTCAAGGCAAGGGGGTTGTTTGGTTTACACAGTAAAAATCAGTGGGGAGCCCTCAGGGTCTTTTAGGCCTTCAGAGAAGGCTAACTTTGTCTGGCACCAATTTCGTGAAAAAACATCACTCTAGGCCCTCTGAAAGTCCTAGATATGTCACTGACTGCAAATACAAGCAGCAGTGTAAGCAAGTTTCAGTCAGTTGTTAGTAATGGGAAACAGCAGCAACAGCTCTAGGCCAGGAGTCGATGTAAAACTGCTACATACAAGATAAAATATGTCACACCTTGTATCTCCATTTCTGTCATTTTGTACTGTTTGTTTACAGAATTTGAAAATGCCAGCTGCTGTTTACAGTGTGCTAAAATTTCATGATGAATAAACCAACAGAAAAGCTCCAAAATTTCTTGGAAAAAAAATGAGTTCCATTAGCTTCCTTTCAAAGTTATGAATGTTTTTTCCTTCTCCCGTAAGGTTACGACTTTGGAGATTGATAGGGCAGCACGATAAATTGGATTTTTATCATTATCACAATATGAGTTTCTGCAATGACAGAACAGGACAAATTACCTCACACACAGTGCCAAAATGACACAATTAGATTGGTGGGAATGTAGCATTAGAAGCCCAACAAGTGCTTCTCTGCTCTGGGTTTGAATCCTTCTCTCCAATGTGCACAGAAACCACTCTGCCCTGAACTACTAGCCTGTACAGTGCTTTAAATGTGATGACTATCCTCAGTATGTAAAATGCGTAGACTGAATGGTAAAATGTATGAAGCTATATATATATATATATATATATATATATATATATATATATATATATATATATATTGTGTGTGTTTACAGGCCTAATAAAAAGGAAAAACACACATGTTTATTCATGTTTATTCTTGAATGCAACTCAAAAAGGTTAAGCTCTTCATGGAGTCCTCATCGATTTTAGACTGAAGCACATTATGGAGGTCTTTGCAGCCCACAAATTCTCCTCAAGGTGGTAGCATTAGCAGTCGGATTGCTTTTGATGCCTCATTAGAGCAGCACCTCACATCAGTAACATTAGCTGTACAGTGTACAGAAATGTGCTTGCAGTTCTAATCTAAGTACTTTATTTTTATTTTGCACAATAATGAACGTTGCTTTTGGAATTTAGAGTTTTTTTTTTTTTGCTATTTGCTTAAAGCAGAGGTTAGATTTCTGTTTACACAGCAAGGAAAAGACTATACTTGTGGCACATCCAGTCAGAGGCATGCTATATTAATTATAATTTATCACTCATATCGTCATTGTTATTTTTTTGAACATTGCATTCAATGCCCATACTGTAAAGCCTTACTGACTGAATGGAAATGTGTGGCATAATCAAGTAGTAGGATTATAGTAGTTATATGGTATATGGATTAGGTTACAGAAAGTTAATCAATGAATGTTAATCAATATTTCTAAGCAATTAATAATACGTGTGAATGAAAGATTTGACATTGGCCACTTACTAGAATATGAACCTGCCTCTTGGTAAAGAATAACAGAGTCTCAGTGACTTGTGCTTTCGTTCGCGTTTTATTAAAATCCCGTAGTACAATCCCATTCTCTGTCTGAAAGAGAGGACAAAATTTATGTTAGCTGAAACTGATCTCCAAGCAATGCAGTCTATCAGTAAGTCTCATACCATAATGCCTTCTACGCGGAACCCTAGTGTTGCAGTGCTGCTGGTGCTGTCCCTCCATTGCATGTAGCGTAACTTGGTTACACCTTTCTGCTCGTGTTCCTCCTCTGTGGGAGCCGTAGGGTCTACTTTCACCATCTTCTGGTACATATCAGTCCGCAAGCTTGCTTTGGTCCTGGCTTTAACAATCTCCTCCTCCTGATATGTCCTGATTAGATGACATCAAAATGACAAAGGCAGTGGTTAAACAAGTGCACACTTGCACGAACAATCAACCTCATAAGCTGAGTATTAAAACTCGCTGTTTGCACTCCTTCATTGTGCAAACACAGTCATGTGTAATCTGAGGTGCTGCTAATCCACGTCTACACTATAGTTAGGTTCATGCTATTAGAAATTTGAATTTAAATGCAGAAATCTGAATTTGAATTGTTTTGTATCTGTATCGTACCATCTAAAGTTGAAAGTTGAAAGAGTTCAAGCAAAAGATGGGCTACAATCAGAAAATACAAGTGTATGTGAAGGGTAGGTGTTTCTGATAAAATGGCCTGTGAATGTAAGTACATGGTAGGAAAGGGGTAGGGTTGAAGAGATTCTGTGTTTGACTGCTTCTGCCTGCAAGACCCCCCAGATTATTTTAAAAGTGAAAACGTGAATTAAAATAAAGATGTGAAGCTTTTTAGAAATTGAATTTCAGACATTGGACTGTACATAATGAGACATCCTTGATAGCAAGAGGACAGTGGTCCACGGTTGGCCCACTGATGGCAAAGCTGGTGGTCCACTGGCCTATTGCTCAGCATTTTCTGGGTGGCCCACCGATGTTTAAACAGAGTATTAGACATAATTCCACTTATCATTGCTCATTTTCCACTCATAGTCCAATTTACTGATTTTACCTTCCTTCCTTTCTTTAATTATACTTTGTAAATCAGTTTAGTAAATAATTTTAATCCAGCTCAGTGTCAGCAACAACATTTTCTATAAAATCATTTCATGCTAGGCCTAGTCATTATTTTTTCTCTCTCACGTGTTGGCAATATTTATCTTAGTTTATTTTCTGAAAAAATAGGCCATGTGCATTTACAATCTGTTTGAGGAGATTAAAAACTAGGTAGAGCAAAACAATAATCTTGGTGGTCCAAGGGTGGACCAGAAGTGACAAACTGTCTGTGGGGTGCCGATCTTATCAAGCCAGCGGATCGATATATGCTTGCTATCTGGAATAAAATTCAGTTTTAGATTTTATATTGCTCTCCTACAAACCTTACAGTCCAGTATTCAATTTCAGATGGTATAATACAGATTCAAAACAATAACATCCAAATTTAGATTTTTGCATTCAAATTCAAATTTCTAATTACGTGAATGTAACTCCATAGAGATATACTGATCATGTTTTTTTTTTTAGGTTGATTCTGAATTTTTACTGGCAAATTGACAAATGGCCAATTTTTGGCCAATTTTTCGTAGCTCAAACTGTGTGGGCTAAGTGAACACCTAAAACACACTAGTACCAGTACCTTGTATTAGCCAGGGGTGTAACATAATTAACATTCGTTGCTATTTCATAGCCTTCATTAAAATCAGTTATCAAAAAAATCAATCAAAAATCAAATAACATGCTTCATCGAAAGTAATAGGCAACTTATTATTTAGTCATGCATAATAATGCTACAACATTTTGTTATAGGTATAGCAGGAGCATTCAAATTCAGCACAAGTACTAATAATAATTTGGCCAAGTGCATGTTTGGAGCAAAAATTGTTCGAGTCAGATCTTGGCCAATGCCGATCATGCACCCCTAGTGACAAGTGTTACTACATTAAAGTAAGTAATGCTTTGATATTGCCAGGTTTAAGCAATAAAATCTGGTTTCTGTTTTAACAAAATAATATAGTGTCCAAAGAACTTCTGCTCTCATATTCTTAACGTAGCATATTAAGTACACTGCAATTAATGTACTTCACAACAGAAATGATGACCAATGACCAAGTTAAACTGATACAGAAAGATCCATGCAAAATGTTATTTGTAACATGTAATACATCACTCCTTCACCTAAATAGGAAAAAAAAAAATCCAACTTAGCAGTGACAATAGTGTCATCTGACAAATGAAAGATAACCGCAATGCCTGGCCAAACCGCACACTGGCCTTTGTTGAGTGTTTTGACTCTGTCTATGTTTAACTTACTGCTTCTTTAGCTCTATGTGAATAGAGCAGAACATGTTATGGAAATCCTTATTTGCTTTTCTGCTTCTATCAAACAGCATGAAGTAGATGCAGTGTTTCACTTCACACGCATAGCTTCAGCCATAGCACATAAAGTTGTATGTAAAAGTTTGTGGGCCCCTGGTCAAATAACATGCTTTGTTGATTTTCTAAGCGAAAATAAGTTCAAACATCTTACAGAAAGAAAACTCTTCTGCACATATTAATGCACAGTTACAGTTTATTTGCTGAATTTAACATAATGGGGAGAAAAATAAATCTTAAAAAGTGGCCTGTACAAAAGCTATGGCGCATTTTCTGTTTTATTTTTTGCAGTATGTTAAACCCAGCAAATAAATAGAAATTGTGCACTAAACTTATCAGAAAATTCTGTATTTCAGTTTGTTCCTTATAGTGGATGTTAACTTTTATTCACTTCAAAAATCAACAAACATAATTTGATCAGGGGTGTTCAAACTTTTGCATATGACTGTAATCTTGCAGTCCTCAATGATATGTAGGCATAAGACATAGCACTATGGCCACAATAATGTGAATCCTCTGCTGTGTCAAACTAGAGAAGGCACTAATCTGTGCCTAGAATGTGATCAGAATTGTATGCAGACTGATTGCAGCCCCCTCTTTTTATGTGAAGCACATAGAACAAACAAAATGGTGCTTCTGCCTACCGGATGCCCATTTTGCAGTCCATGATGACCGGCTGCTTGAGGCCACTCAGCAGGTCCTCCAGACGGATGTAACACTCTCCATTCCTGCTGATGTGCCCGTAATACTGAGGCACGAATCGGCGGAGGGGGTCTGACATGAGTGCCTGCAGACAGCTGTCCTCTACTTCGTTAAATCTCTTTAGCACCTCCCCACCTTCACCCAGCTGGATGTTACCTGGTAACACAAGCAATGTCAGGAACATTTGTATCTGTGCCACACTTAGTAGGTTTGCAGATAAAAGAGTTGCCAGTGTATTACTTATTCATGCACTGACCATTTTATCAGGTAAACCAACCATTTAGGTGCACTTTGTAGGTCTATTACTGACTGTTGTCCATCTGTTGCTAGGCCTAATTTGGCAGTCATCCTCTACTCTGTCCATTAATGGAAAGGGACCACCATAGTGGTCCAAATAGCAGTCCTGTGGTCATAATCTGACCACTGATAAAGGGCTAGAGGGTAAATAGCACAGACTGCCTATAGAAAAAGATGATTAAAGGTCTCTGTACACCTGCAAGGTGCACCAACAAGGTACACTTATAAAGATGCTACAAGTGATTTTGGAGTGATGCCATTGAAGAACTACTTGTGGTTCCCTAAAGAACCATGTTTGAAATAGAGATATGTGAGTGTGAAGCACCTCTTAGGGGTTTACGCATAAAATAACAGCTCTGTTCCAACTTAAGGGTTCTTCCTAGAACACCTACGTTATGTATTGGATCTTTGCGCTTTAAAAAAATGTTCACACATTCACTCATCTTCACTCATAAAAAACACCCATTGAGAGGTTCTATAGGGAATCAAAATTTGTTCTTCTTTGGCACTGTGCAAAGAACCCTTTTTTGGCACCTTAATTGTTAAGAGTATAACTGTATCTAACATAGTGGACAGTAAGTGTGAACAGTGTGTAAAACCACTAGCATGTAGATGTCTCTAATGACCTACCATTCAAAAAATACCTGGTCAGTAGACGTTCTATGGTGGTCCTTTTCTGATGATGACTGACGTAGAGTGACTGATGACTTGTGCAGCTACAAATAGACTACAGTCACTAATAGTTTATGTACAAAGTGCGGCGGTTGTTCCCGGTAAGTCAGCATTGATTCACGGGGTGCCATACATAGCATGTCTTTCAGATTTTAAATGAAGAAAACTATACCAGCAATGTGTAAAACAAACCGTAATGAACAGAAAGTGAACAGGACTTTTAACTGGAGAGTGACCCTTTCTGAATGAAGCAAACGCTATGATGGTGTTACTGATTAAGCACAGATCACGTGCCTTGGTGTCCAGCCAGCTGAATCCAGGAGCTCTGTCTACGCTTTGACCACTGCATCATGGTCAGGAATGTCCTCCAGGATCGACACTGGAAAAGGAGAAGTTCATCTTTATCTTGTGCAGTTTATACAAGACATTGCTTAAACTTTAATTCATATGAATGAAATTATATTAGTTTGATAAACTTTGATAAAATGATGAACGTTTTGGCCCTTCAAACAAGAATCATTCATTTTTTACATTAAAAATTGTTTTTCAGGGAGACATAGCAAATGCAAGTAAAATATATGTAGTTGTGGAACTGTTTAACAAACTGAATATTTTAAGAATTAAAATCTAACTAATTTGTCAATATTATTACTATTATTATATGTACTATTGTTGCAATTATTAATTGTTAGTATCACTACAAGTTGTTTACATCCCTCCATCAGCTGAAATATGTTGTCACTTATTGGATATATTAGCAAAGAATATTTTAAATTTGACTGTGGCAGGCTACTATCACAACCCTATCTTCATCTACTGGGCTATGCAAATAACTTATTCAAATGGCCGATGTCAAGGTTCTCTTTCAAAACCATGCAAATTAACTGTGGGACATCGAGAGGGAGGCTTACTGAAAACACATTTTTTTTTACCCCCAAACACCAATATGTTCATGTTTGCTTTTAGAAATGTACACGTTGGTGAAGAAGTGGATATGACCTTAAAAAATACGTTTAAAAAAGCATGCTGTTTAAATAATTAATTAACCCATTCAGTTCCTGGGTTTATTGCATCCTACATCTTTTTATTCTGTTTATTATTCATTTAAATGGAAAACAGTGCAATCTGGCTGTGTTATTCTTATGTTATGGGAGTGAGGAATAGAAGCCTGGACCTGCTGGTGGGTCCTGGGCATTTAAGGGGATAATATATTTGAATTCATTGTTTATGCTATTGGCTCATCAAATGTTTTGAGATACTTGCCTTCTTTTGAAATATTAATTTTCTAGCCATTTTTATTAGACAGGAAAAACAGCAAAACTTATTAACAGTGTATGTTTTGCACTTAGCTTAATGGTCATCAAAGTGCCTTCTTTGGCATAAGAGTAGATTTTGCCTAAATAGGGGTTTGACATGTTTTCCTTTTTCAAACTATTGTTAAAAAACACGTACTGAAAATTTTGGCCCAAAACACCTGAAGGGTTTGAGTGCTGATGAATCCTGACACCAAAACAAGGGTTAAAATGTGTGGGCTTTGGCATCATTCCCAAAGTAGTACTGTCACAAACAGTGTCATAAATATTTACATGTGAGATATTGATTCTTTAACATAAACCTGCCTAGTCTTTAACATGTTAAGTTACTGCAAAGTGACTAATTTTTGTAAAAAAAAATTTTTCCCAAAAAACACTAGATGTCCCCTAATTTTTGACAGGCAGTGTAGTAGAGATGTTATGCTGTCTAGGCTTTGGTCATCATTCTCACCCTCCTCACGTCCTTCCTCTTGGCCATCTCCTCTCCCTCGCTGAACACTTCGTCACTTTCTGCTGAGGAACAGTTGAAGGATGAAGATGAGGAAGAAGAGGACGAGGCAAAGGAGTGAGCGAAGACCCTGGAGAAAACGTGTTGTGACATGGTTCCTCTTGCCTCTGGATCTCCCTCCATGCTCCCTTGCCTTCTTTCTCCTAGTCTGTCCTCCTTTTCAGACTCCTCGTCTCGTCTTTCTTTGGACCCCCAGTGCTTTTGTGTGTTTCGGCATCTAATTCCACGGTTCATTTCTTTCTCAATAACTTCATTTTCCTGTGCTAGGTCCTCCACGCTGCCTCCTAGCCTTTCTCTCCTCTTTCCCTTCCATCTCTCCCTCTGTCCGGCTCTCCACATGCTCTTCCTGGACACTTCTACATTCTCTGGTAATAAACGCTTTTCATCTGTATTTTTTTCTTTGCCAGTTTCTTTTACTGACTCTTCCCGTCTTTCTTCAGCTGTGGACTTTCTGTCTTCGGTAGCATTGGTTTTAGAGCAGCCCAGAATAGCACTGGGCTCCACATCCTGTACATTTTCTAGAGTCATTAGCGGTTCCTCCTGAATGGACTCTGGCTCCAGTCTGGAAGAAAGCACAGCCTGAGCAGACACCAGTTTGGGCTTGGACCTTCGTCCCTTGACAAATGCATCCTTCATTATGTTGTTCACCCTTTTTGTTGGATAGGAAGGAGCAAGAGCAAACATATCTCTTTTCTCCTCTTCTTCTTTCACCTTGTTTCTCAAACTCTCATCATTCTGAGGCTCAGTGGACTTTCCTGGGTCATCTTCATCATGCTTGTTTGTAGATGTGCTCATATTTCTCAACAAAAACTCCAAGCCTTTCATGAAGATAGGCTATCCAATGCAATCCAGACAAAAGCACTAAATTCCAGTAATCCAATAACTCATGATCTAGAAGGAGAATCAGATGAGAAGATGGGTCAAATATACTCTACTAGCTGTAATCGATCTATAAAAACTGTAATTGGTCATTCTCATGAATGCTAAAATGAAAAAAAAAGCACTTCTGTATGGAAATGTGAAGTTCATTTACCAAGTCTAAATGCCTGATCATCTGCATTACTCCATATTAAATAGAACTCTTTTTGTATAGCCTGTCCCAGCCATGAGCTCAGAGCTTGAAGTTTGCTCTGCGAGGTCCAAAGGCATTCCTGTAGCCATCCAAAGTGCACCCGGCACTCCACTCAAAATGCTCTCTGTCGACGTCTATAGCCTTGGATTTGCATGCCCTGACATCATGAAGTTTCCACAAGCCCCAGCAGTCAATCCTGATGAACTGAGCTGGATGCCAGTCAGCACACTTACCGCACCAGCCAGTTTGGAGATGCAAAACATGTTGGCCTGTGGCCTTATATAAACCAATTCCTTGTGAGATTATAGTCTGTGTAGACTATAATATACTTGTAGACCAATTACCAACACTGCTCCTAGAGATCTACCTTCCTGAAGAGTTAACCTCCAATCCTGTTTAAACACATCTGATCTAGATCATCTATCCACTTAATTAGTTGGATCAGGAGTTAGATTAGGGCTGAACCTGAATTCTGCAGGAAGGTTGATCTCCAGGTGCAATGTGGGTAGCCACCGCTGTAGACTATAGACTGTTCTGTGTTAACCTTTGCTTTCAGTGTAACCTGTAAGAAGGAGTTGCCTGGCATGGCGTTTACATATTTTGTTTATCTAGGGTCCCCTTTACACCTTGTATTAAGCGCAGTCCATCTCAGGAGCAGCCTTCCCCTCACTACAGGACATTTATCACACCAGGGTCATCAGGAGGGCCCACAACATAATCAGGGACAGTACACACCCCCAGCACAGACTCTTTACACTCCTACCTTCAGGCAGACGCTACAAGAGTGTGAAGTCCAGGACTACAAGACTGACGAACAGTTTCTATTCACAGGCCATCAGGCTTGTGAACACATCACTCACTACCTCCCACTCTGAACTGGTTTAACTTTTGGCTGACTTTGCACTCAATAACTGCACCTTACATACACTGTACTGCTGCTGTCAGAATAATTCTGTTTACATCTATTACTTGCACAGAACACTACTGTTTACATCTGTTACTTGCAACATGCACTTTATGGACCGCTGCTCTACATACTTGCACATACGCACATGTAACTTTAATTTTCTTTCAACTTTGCACATATAACTGTACTTTTTTGTACCAATATAGTCTGAGAAAATATATATATATATATATATATATATATATATATATATATGGTGAACGGAGGAACAGCAAAGTAAGAATTTCATTATACAGTGTAACTGCCTGTTTCTGCTGTGCATATGACAATAAAACTGTTGAATCTTGAATTAACTGTATGTACATAATATGTGTGAATATGCACAATTAAAACTGTCTAAATGTTTCTTTTTATGAAGCTAGTAGAACAGCAAGAAAATTTGTATATCATTACTATAGTTGTATGCAAAAGTTTGACCACCGCTGGTCATTTTTTTTTTTGACCACACATCCTCTACAGGGAACAAACTTACTTTTGACATTTTTCTGTTCATTTTAGGGCACAATTTTAATTGTTGTTTGGATTAAAATGTGCAGAAGTTTGTTCTCTGTAGACAATGTACTGCTTTAACTACTTTAAACCAACAAAACATGTCAGTTGACCAGGGGAGGTCAAACATTTGCATACAACTGTATGTATGTAAGTCAGTGATTTACATATCATATTAATGCATGCAGAACTTCCAAGAATGAATTATGTCAGCACATCTGCATGAAATCTGTCTTCAAACATGCCGTGTGGATCTGCAAGTGGAAACATGGGATGCAAATGAAGGCGTTGATTTCGGCGTTCATCACAGAACCTACAGCACGGAGACAACCAGGGCAGATAATAGTGAACTCAGGTTCAGGTAGATCAACAGGTTCAGGAAGGTTACATAAGGCTAGGATAGTGCTGGATTTTAAGACATGCAGTGTGTAACTGAACTCAATTAAGCTTACCACTGTTGTTTTTAATGTCATTTTGTTTGCATAAACTTAATGATCTACAGTAGACTTATGATATCTAACACATAGTTCTGTTGATCACAATAACAACAACAATGGAAACTTTCATCTTCAATTCTTTATCTATGGCTGTGTTTATTTGTCTCAATAGCATGACTGCACTCCCTCCTTTCAACGTTATAGCAAAGTGAATAACCATTGCTCTTATCCTAAAATCACCTAGTGCACCTAGGGACATATAGACATAAAAGAAAGCCGTGATATCAGTTATTCAAAGAACAACCTGTCATATCTGACTGACTTGTGAGCAAAGCAAAGGCCATGTAAATAAATGCAAATAAAGATTTTACTTTCCACAAATACACCGCAAACAAATGTTGCTGGTTATACAGTGTTAAACTTCTTGAAAAAAAAGATAATGATTTGGATATCTGTGTAATTGCACAACATGGGCCAGAACATTACAGAACAGTACATACACTTGGCAAAACAGGTGGAAAATATGGGCCTCCTGGCAATCAACCAAAGTGCACATTCATATCTAATTCACAACAATTCATAACAGTATGTTCACCACCACCTTACATGACTGAATCTGCTGCTAAAGCTAAGATACTGAGAACAGCAGTTTACTGTTGCCCTTTGCTTGTCATAACCTTTACCTTCATTACTAAACTGCTCCATTTGCTCTGTTCTAGGAGCTCAGACAGGTTCCAGTACGGTAATACGCCTTGTCTGTGGGGTCAGTAGACACATCTGGCAGCCCCTCAGACAGAAATCTAAGCTTCAAATAAGTCTCCTCATTCCGTGCCTCAGATACATGCTGTTCCTCAGCAAGGCCTCTAGAGTCATTTGTCTCCACGTTGTCCTCCACCCCTGTGTCCAGAATTGACTGTTCCATCTTGCCAGAACTGTAAGCCTTGATGTCACTGGGTCCCATTACAGATGCATCCAACAAATGTGTCTTTGTGCCTAAACAAATGAGCAGATATTGTTTTTCAAAATCAAAAATATCATCACTGTCCTTGCAAAACCCGAATAGCAACTTCGTAAGAGAAAAGATATTTTTAACTTTAATGTACTGTATGCTAATTTAGCAAAGTTTGATTCAAGATTTTAGTAATTTTGGAACATTTCAATTGGTCTGTTCATCATGAAACGCTCCTATGATGTAAAGTGTCGCTGGTGTTTTCAAAGGGTGTCAAAGTGACACAGTATAAACAAAAGTGTTGTTTTTCACATTATAATATATATTACCATCAGCAATCTGTAACTCAGTCACCCTCAGTGACCATGAAACTTTTATATCAAGCTTTAAAGGGGAATTTCACTTAAATTACTCACTTAAATTGTTAAGATGTAAAGAAAATCATTCAGACTTTGATACAAAATGCTCCACTCTAGAGAAATGTAATGAGTTGGGGCTGTTCACATCGGTGGTGATAGGAACCAGATCTCCAAAGCATTTAATGTCTCTAAAAATCTCATGCAACGCTGTTTCACAAACTGATTACACTGTCTGATGACTGAGACATTGTTCTACAATTGTGAGATTTTTGCCTAAAACATATTTTTTTAAATCTATTAATAGTGGAGAGGTACATGCAGGGCGTTGTAAGGCAAAACAGTTCCCAAAGAAAACTTTTTTTTTTAAATTTTTTTAGATTTACTATTTTACCATTATCAACATACGGTAAATATAAAAACTCAGAAGCCACATGAACGTTCACTGGTCATTGTGGATAGTAAGTAAAATGGCAATGGTTCCTATCACGACCACAGTAAAACGCCTTAGTTGGTAAGTTTCTCTATAATGCACCACTTCACATGAATCCTTTTTAAATTACTTTGTTCAAATCTCAACAACTGAATTATGCAGAATTGTTTAAAAAATAACTTTTTAAAGTTAGGCAATATTTACCCGTGCTGTTGTCCTCAGGGTGTGTGTTTGTTTCATACTGATCTGTGGCTTCAGGAACATCTGCTCTCCTCTGCCTCTCTTTATTCCATTTTCCAACCTGATATCAACAGAAGAACTCTCACTAGTGTAATTTAATTTTCTTGGAAATACATTTCAAGCACTTAAGGCACTTTAAGACTAAAATATGGTAATTTTTTAAACAATACATATCACTATAAATCTTGATTAGTTGATTACTGATGTTCTAATTTTTTATATTTGAAGTTTAAAAAAATACACATTATGACACATTATCTAAGAAAATAGGCAAATATTAAAAAACAGAAAATCTAGCCTTTGGATGATGGAAATAAAATGTTTGATTCATTGTGAAAACACACTAAAAAGAAAGGATTTTACAGAACAGATTATTGGAACCTTATAATTTTAGTGCTGAATCAAGAAAACAGTGTTTTTTTAGGTCATTTTATAGGACAAAATCTAGCATCAACACAACTTTTAGCAGTATATTAAGAAAGTATGTGATTTTCTTAATGCTAAATTTCATGAATGTAGGTATTCTAGAAATTTAAAAATGTTTGATTCTTAATGTAGAGAAAATCTGATACTAAGAAAAACAATTTTAAGAATGGGGCTCAAAACTGCGAAACTCCAGTGAGATCTCAGAAAACAGGTACCATTTGTGGATGTGTTGTTACTATTTAAAAAAAAGTAGACATACAACCCTATTTCCAAAAAAGTTGGGACACTGTGCAAAATGTAAATGAAAACAAAATGCAATGATGCAAAAATCATTTAAACCCTATATTTTTTTATTGAAGATAGTACAAAGGCAACAAAAAATTGTCTTGTTTTTTGAAAAATATATGCCCATTTTGAATTTGATGCTAACAACATGTTCCATGTTGGGATGGGGGCAACAAAAGGCTGGTAAAGTTGTGTAATGCTGAAAAAACACCTGGTGGTTAATTGGCACCAGATCAGTAACATGACTGGGTATAAAAAAGCATCCCTGAGTCTTTCAGAAGTAAAGATGAGGATGGGTTCACCAATCTGTAAAAGACTGCACAATCAAACAGTGCAACCTCAGACCTCAGACGGCACTGCATTAAAAAACAGACATGATTCTGTAGTGGAAATCACTTCATGGGCTCAGGAACACGCCTGAAAACCACTGTCTGTGAAAACAGTTTATCACTGCAACCACAAATGCAAGTTAAAACTCTAAAATGCAAAGAAGAAACCAGATATAAACAGGACACAGAAACGCTGCCACCTTCTCTGGGCCCGAGCTCATTTAAAATAGACTAAGGCGAAGTGGAAAAGTGTCCTGTGGTCCGACAAATCAACATTCTTTTCGGAAATCATGGATACTATGTCCTCCGGGCTAAAGACCACTCAGCTTGTTATCAGTGCACAGTTCAAAAGCCAGTATTCATGATCGTATAGTGCACATGACATGAGTGACGTGCACATCTGTGAAAGCACCATTAATGCTGAACGATATATATATGTTTTGGCAACATATGCTGCCATCCAGACAACGTCTTTTTCAGGGAAGGCCTTGAATATTTCAGCAAGACAATGTCAAACCACATTCTGCATGTATTACAACAGCATTACTCCGTATTAGAATCCGGGTGCTAAACTGACCTGCCTGCAGTCCATACTTGTAACCACTGGAAACTTTTGGCACATTATGAATTGAAAAATACAAGACAAGAGACAACGAACTGTTGAGCACTTTCAAAACTACAGCAGTTGGTCTTCTCAGTTCCCAAACACTTACAGAGTGTTGTTAAAAGAAGAGGTGATGAAACACAGTAGTAAACATGCCCCCGTCCCAACTTTTTTGCAACATGTTTTTGGCACCAAATTCAAAATGGGCATATATTTTTCAAAAAACTTTCTCAGTTTCAAACATTTGATTTGTTGTCTTTGTACTATTTTCCTTTAAAAATATGGTTTACATAATTTGCATATCATTGCATCCTATTTTTATTTACATTCTGCACAGCGTCCCAACTTTTTTGGAAATGGGGTTGTATTTGGATAGTCTATGTAGATTTTAAAGGTTTCTCAGTGATATATGACACCATGTAGTTTTTCTATTTGTGGGTGGGGCTAACTGATTGATGGGAACAAAACTCATTTCTGCCTAGGATGTCTTGCCTTAATCATGAGCCTTTAGATCAAAATGTTTTTAAGTGCAGGTTGCATTCACTCATGTGTGTCCAAACCTTTGACTGGTGCTATAAATTTGATTAATGCTATATTAATGTTATATTATATTGGACTGATAGTACATACCTGTTGACTTGGCCAGATGCCACCCAGGGCGACCTGAAGGTAGCTGATGAGGATGAGCACACTGAGGAAAGTGAAGTTACTCAACACGCCCACAACAGCTGAAGCAATAGGGAAGTGATAGAGGATGTACCTGAGCAGAAAAACAAAAAGATTTCAATCAGATTCTGTTCAAAGACATCACTCACACACACACACACACACACACACACACACACACCCCTACACACACACTTACCGTATGCCGGAGAAGTGAGCGTGGATGTACACCTGAGCTTTGTAGATCTGAACTTGCTGAGAGTGGATTTCTATAACTGCTCCAACAGTGGGCTTATACTGCAGAGAGCGAGAGAGGATAAGGACAGCCAACGTAAGAGCTCTTTTCATGTCACCTTTGTACTCTGTGTGGTGACTTCTTCCAATGAAACATCTTTCATGCTACACAGTTTTCGCAAGTCTATAGCTTTGTGTCCAATATTTAAAAGAGAGAGGCAGTCTAAGGGTTTGAGGGAACATATGTAAGGACGTTTATTATTTTTAAACAAGCTTTTCTGTATGAATATGGCATCCTATTCCAGCACTGGTGGATCAGTGTTAAAGGCCATCCTGTTCAGTCATATGGAGTGAATAAGTATAAGTTTGCAGGTTGAGGAATGTAAAAGAGCCATGAAACAAAACCTTCTAAGTTCTAAGAAATAATGTTGCCTTTCCATTAGTGTAGCTTAAGCAAATATATACAAGTCCTTCATGTTACATGTGGGTCAGTCCTCCTGACAGACCATTTCAGACTTATTTAAAAGTTCAAGGATCTAGGCCTTATCTTCATTGGTTTCTGAGATACAAATGCATTAACCCCTTAAAATCCCAGGTTTATTGCATACTAAGGCTTATTATGCATGCATAAAATGTTCAGACGTTTCTTGGTTTCAGTAGTGTTTTAAGGACATTTTCTAAAATCAGATGGTTTGAGGCCATACTGTATGGCCTTTTTATATGGCTTGTAATCTGAGTGCAGGCTGCACTCACTGAGTTGTCTATGTAAGAAGAGTAAAGTTCCACCAGGATGTACTGCTTCTGCTCAGCCGTTCCCATCAGCAGCAGAGGAGAGAACATCAGAGTGCTCAGAGACTGCAGCAGACTGGTGCGATAATGCAGCATGGTCTAGGAACAGATGCACACACACAAAGGTGTTATTCAGGCAAGATTAACTTGGTGAGTGCTGCTTTATGCATGATGGAGCAGCTACACTACAGCATAGTGTAATGGCTTAGTAACAGTGTGGCAAAATATCAAACTTTCACAATTTTCCTCCCAAATGCAGTCAATTAGCTAAGACATGTTTGTTGTTTGAGGCTTGCTTCTTTAGATTTGCACTATGAGAATAATATAACTGACAAGTAACGGAAGCTTTTAGCCCACCAACTAGCACTGTACAATTGCCTCCAACTGTGTCGAGTTGTTAAAGGGCTTATCTTAAAGGGCTCATAGAAAATCAAATTTTCCTCACTTCTTTTATAAATAAAACAGTTCTAAGCAACATGTAAATGTTCCAGTTTCAACATGTACCATTACCTCCCCATTCCATGAAGTCCATGGATTGAAATTAAGCTTAAAAACAGTGTGTTCTGAATTCATTGTTTTATGGTGTCACAAAAACCAATGCATTTACATATACCTGTCAATCCTGGCTACAGCAGTGTAGCCCCACCCATCCCCTTCAAAGTTATAAGGAGTGTTTGAGCCCAGATTGCTTTTTAAACAAGGTGCATTACAGAGCAGCCAGTCAAAACAGAGTCATGTACCTATATCAGTCTTAAAAGCACAGTAACGAAAACAGCCGGTTTTATTAAAAGTAATAAAGTGAGGTTTGAAAATGGTCATGTAAAAATAAATCATGACAGTTTCTTGTACATGAAACCACACAAATGTTATTAAGGTTAAAAAAAATGCAGGACATAGGCCCTTTAAATAGACTCACTTATGTGGATTCGGACACTATGACATAGTACGTTTATGTGGTTTTGCATATGAAAATGGCTTCAAGATGGCTGCTAGCACTGTTTTAAGCTATATAACATTCTTTTTGTCCATTTTTATAGATAATGGTATGTGATACACCATACAGCAAGCCCTATAGCAAGTGTATTTGAAATTACATGACAATTGAGGCAAGTTTATGATGATTTAGGTCTACAGTTTCGCACATTGCTAACAGACTTCCATTACTTGTTAGCCACATTAACCTTGTAGCTCAAGTGCAAAACTAAAGAAGCTGACTTTGGACATCAAACATGTCTAGGCTGATTGAAGACATTTGGGTTAAGGGGAAAATGTGTAAATTTGACTTTTCACTAAAGTATTTCCTAAAGCTGATTGTGTGTAAGTGTTTTTATGAATGTTTTGACTCATTTTTGATCTCACAGAGCGTGCAGCGGTGTCAATAATCTGTCCCTCATAGGAGTAGCAGTACATCTTCACCAAGAACATTCCCAGCTGCTCATTGGCTGGAGACTCGGGCATTTCCAGCTCCAGCGTGATCTGATAGGGCTGCCCATATGTCATCACCTAGAGTCAGTGAGTAGTGGCAAGAAAAGTTTCATAGCAGAAGCTGGAAAAGTCACAAATGAAAACGTTTTCAATACATGCCTGTGAACATGGGCAAAACGTTTAATGGATACCAAGGCCACAGAAAGTAAAAGATGAGTTATAGCAATTCTAAAGGTGAATTTAACAGATAAAAGGGTAATTAGCATACATACACTTCCATAAATCAATAACAAAGAAGAACAACAATGATGGCACCTGTTTCTTGCCGTTCCTAAGCAGGGAAAAATTAGCCATGGGGAAGGAGCAGATGGAGTGGTGGGGAGAGGTACAGTCAGTTCTGCTGGACAATCAAACACTGGTTAGAAGGAGTGAGGGAGACAAATATGCCTTTGTTACACAAGCTTCTGTTTCTTGCTCATTCTGTTTTTGCAATTTAGCACTTCTAAAGTCAACAGATGGCTATAGAACATATCATGTACCAAACCTGTTACATATCTTTTACAGCACAGCAAAGTAAATGATAACAGGATTCCTTTTACATGATATTCATGTTCATCTTTTTGTTGCTGTTATGAGAGAATGTTCAATTTCTCATTTTTTTATTAATTCATTAACTCTATTTGAAAACTCCAGCTGCCATTTAGTGTATACAATGTGAACATTTCACAACAAATAGATCATCATAAATTTCAAATGCAATTTTGGAATTTTTTTTGTGGTGATTTTATTGTTAATGGTGATTTTGTGGTGATATCATCAAACATAACCATTAAGTGCCAGTACTTTGGGTTTATTATTTTAATGGTATGTTAGAGTTAAAGGAATACTTTTTAACTTATTGTCAATCTGCTGCATCTGTAGAATATCCTCACTTACCTTGAACAAAAGATCAGAAAACCTGTCGACTCACAATAGACTGATAACAGAAGCCAGCTGGAAAATGTTTGCCCATTACTTTAAGCGTGCTTTGAGTTGGAGGGATTTTCGTTCTTTAACTAAGCATAAGGAAACGTGTTAAAATCCTTGTCTGTGGTAATCGACCATATGCTACAGATGCAGCAGACACAGGTTCAAAATGCTCGATACCCACAGGTGTGCTCTCACCTATAATAGAAGTGGACAGGAGTGATGAAGTTGGCAGTGGGCATGAAGGAGTAGTAGAAACTGCCATAAAGGAAGATGGCCACCCAGAGCAGAAGCAGAAGAACGCACACAAGAATAGCAGTCTGCAGGACTCTCTTTTGGATCCTTTTGTACAGAATGGTCAGCCTTTCTTGGATGTGAATCAGGAGACCGCTAAATTGGGTCCCCAGCTCCTGAATGGTGGGGCCCTCGCTGTCCATGTCCTCCATCTCTGTACTCATACTTTCCAACTGCCTGGAAGACTCTGAAACTCTGTCCTGTTTAGAGTATCTTTCGCAACCGCCTCTTGTTTTCTGTCCTTTTTTTCGTTCTTTCTTCCTCTCCTTTGACCTCCTCAGCTTTTTACTTTCCTTTTCCACATTTGTAGTAAACTGACAAACTACACATCATGAAGTATGACTTCCTGCACTAAGTCACTTCTCACTTCTGTATGCTCCTAAAAGAGAGGCTCCTTATGGGCTGCCCACTCCTCGTCAGCTATTAACCCCTCTTCATCTTCCTGAAATTCTTTGTACTAAACAGTACAAGAACCCTCTATGTCACTCTTATGTTGTCTCATTCGGGGAAAAGGGTGAGGGCCTGGAACATGGAGACTCTTAACCCAGTGTGGAAGAGTTCCTGAGTTCATGACCAGCATGTGAGGCAAGAGCACAAGGAGAGCAGTGAGGAAATCAAGTGCTGTGAAATATCTGAGACTAATCATTATAAGAAGTGGAAAAATGAGCATCAGATGACTCAAGACCCTGTTATTTAGCAATGAACTTATTCATAAAAGTGTGAAAATGCGTAAACAAAATGCTACAAGTAAATCTAAAGCTACTTTGTTAAAACATTATCTACTGCCCATGAAAAGTTTGAGGAATTTTCAGAGCAATGTTTGATTTTTAAAGGCTTTTTTATTAAGAAGAAATTCCTGAAATGTTTTTTTGTAACATAAAAATTATTTTTGAGTATATTTTGAGTATATATGTTTGAGTACATATGTCCATTAATGTTTTTGAATGTCTTAATAAATGGTTAATGGTTAATAAATGATTTGACACTCAATAATTGTCCCACAGGTGGTTAAACACCTGAAAATTCTGAGTGTTGACATGACGTGTGGGCTTCGACATTACAGGTAAGATACACTCTTAAAAACATGGTTCTTCAAGGGTTCTTTGGTAAAGACATTGGTTCTATGTAGAACCATGAACATTCAAAGAACCATTTGCATGCTTAAAGGGTTCTTTGCATGGTGAAATCATTCTTCAGATTGATGGAGAATATGTTATATATGGTTCTATATAAAACCTTTTTGAAAAGGGTTCTATATAGCACCCAAAAGCACTCTTCTGACTACTACTTCTGACAATGGAAGAACCCTTTTTGGTGCCATATAGAACCAGTTGCAAAAAGGTTGTAGAACCATATAGAACCACACTGGAAGAAAAACACATGCACTCATAGAAATCTGTGAATGAATGAAGAAATATGCCAGCTGATGAAAAACTGTTGCAAATCAGAGCGCAAGTACATTATGATATTCTCAAAGGGCAGATTTTCAGCTTCAGTAATGCTATGAAAATATCCAGACATCATACCTCTCTAGTGTAATTAATAAACACAAAGATAATACCAAAGTCCTTTTATCCAGGTGCAGGCATGGTGATTTATTTTCTCAAATTTGTGAAGTGTCTGCAATTAATTTTTAAAATAAAATAGCTTTGATAAGACAGAGCATAGCTCCGCCGACAGAAACAAGCCAGTATAACCTTCCTGATAAGCCACTTAATCAGTGATGACATCTTTCTGGAGCTTACAACTGTTATAAACAAATTAAGTTCATCGACATGTGATCTTGACCCTGTTCCTACTTCACTCCTTAAGAGCGTTTTTGATTGTGTTCAAAATGATGTCGTAACTATTGTAAACTGTTCTCTGGCAACAGTTGCTTTTCCAGATGCTTTTAAAACTGGCTTATTGAAACCTCTACTAAAAAAGAATAGCATGGATGCTTCTGTACTAAATAATTTAAGACAAACTCAACTTTTTACGGTAAAAAAAAAAGTGAAAACAAGTTATTTGAGGAATTGCAATGGTACTATGGTTTTTACTTCAGCCATAGTACTGAGACAGCTTTGGTTTGTGTTGTGAATGACCTTAGGCTTAGTACTGATGCACAAAATTCTTCTAGTTTGGTCTTGGATCTTAGGGCAGCTTTTGATGCTGCTGATCACAGTTTCTAATTCACCATCTAGAATACTGGGTAGGCCTCTCAGGCACAGTTTTAGAAGGATTTAAATCACAGTTCTTGGTTTCACTGGGAAATCATTCCTCAAAAAATGTGACATTTCTTGTGGAGTCCCACAAGGTTCCGTTTTAGGGCCTTTGCTTTTCTCTTTGTGCATGCTACCTCTGGGTGTCTGATGTCATAAGGAAACATGATATCAATTTTCATAGCTGTGCTGATGACATGCAATTATACATTTCCTTAAAGCACCTGCTTACCTCACAAAATGTCTGTCTGTTTATGTTCCAACATGTGATCTTAGATCTGCAGGTACTGACCTGCAAACACCTTCAGCAAAATACAGAAAACGTGGAAAGGCCTCTTTCAGTTATTATGCACACTTAAAAATAATGGCTCTTCAAGTGTTCTTTAGTAAAGACAATGTCATAGACATTCAAATATAAACATTCAAAGAACCCTTTCCATGATTAAAGGGTTCTTTGCATCATGGAAGGGTTCTTCAGATTGATGGAGAATATGCAAACCCTTTTCGAAAAGGGTTCCATATAGCACCAAAAGGGTTAAGCTATTGTTACGATGTCAGGCTTGTTACAATAGAAGAACCCTTTTTGGTGTAATATAGAACCCTTTTCAAAAAGGTTCTATTTAGTATCATCTACAGAACATTCTCCATCAATCTGAAGAATGCTTTCATGATGCAAAGAACCCTTTAATCATGAACAGGGTTATTTAGGTGTTCATGGTTCTAGAACCATTTTCTTTACTAAAGAACCCTTGAAAAACATTTGTAAGTGTATGCTTCTAAACTGTGCAACTCAATTCCACTTTTTATTAGTCAAGCTCAGTGAACAATTTTGAGAATCATTTGAAAACATCTCCCTTTAACTTTGAGCTGCGATAGCATTATTAACATTCTCCATCAATCTGAAAAACCATTTTACCATGCAATGAGCTATTTTATCATGTAAATGGTTCCTTAAGTGTTCACGGTTCGATATAGAACCACTGTCTTTACTGAAGGGCCCTTGAAGAACCATCTTTCTGTAGTGTGAGTGTAGCACTGTCACAGATATCGCCAGAACAAGCTTATTTAAACCTGTGATACTGTTTCCCCAACATAGCTGGTTAGCCTTTAATATGTTAAGTTGTAACCCGACAAGGAAAACAGGCTAATTTGCATTTCAGACATTTGAAGAAACATGTCCCCAAGCTTTTAACGGGCAGTGCATTTTTTTAAACCCACAGTGGCTACTAACCCAATTAAACTCACTTTTGGTTTCTACTGAAAGCAGCATGTGAGGGTCGATGACTCAGAAGTCCTTGGGCGCCAGCTGAGCCACAGCTTGTAAGACAAACGAACATGAGCAGCAGCCACAGTGCTAAAGTCTTTGGCATAACGTTTTGTACTATCGTTGGCTAAATGTCGACACTACAGTTCACCGCAAGTAAACTCCATCTGACGGAGTACCGTTAATAAACTGTTATTCCACAGCAACAAGAACTTTTGTGTCTGTTAGCTGTTGTCTTCACCACCGCCTCGTTCACTGTTTTTGCAGTGTCCGTGTTCGCCCGCTAGAGGGCACCAAAACGCTTTGCATTTATTTCCAGTCGTCGAGCTCTCCAATTACAGCAATTACAGCAGCGCTGTACATCACAACATTCAAATCAGGGCCGTTTCTGAGCATTTGGGGGCTCTGCGCGGTGTCCTACTTGGGAAGCCCCCAACCTACACAGATCGCGCTGTTTTGTAGGAAAAAAAGAACAACGAATAATTAATCTATTTCCATTAAGACAAATAAGATTTATTTTATTTTATCACCTGTAATAATAATAATAATAATAATAATAATAATAATAATAATTGTTTTCCTACAAGTAGGCCTACATACTCAGGCTACTCTGGCGGCTCTAGAACCCTAACCACTTAAGTCGCTTATAGCAAGATTAAAATCAATATAATCTTCATAACACTAATGTAAAATTGGTTATGTTGGTTGAGGTTAGTAAATAAAATTGTGAGTAGCTTTTTTACTAAGAGGCTCCTTGAAGCACGGTTACTGAGTGGTTGCTTTGAAGGCGAGTTTTCATCTCCTGTCCTGAGCCTGTCCTTGAACAGGTGCCATGTCCAACCCGATTTTCCTGCTGCCAGTGTAGGTGGAGACGAAACTTTGAGGACGATTGCAGGTGACCTGCCAAAAGAAGAACAAGAAGGGAGAAAAACCCTGTTGGCCTACATCTGTATATGCATAGAAACTGGCAGGTAAATTGATCTGTTCCACAGAGTGCTGTTCACATGAGTTCTGACGGTAAGCCAGTCACTGAAGTGTGCGACCTCGCAGTCATGGAGCAAATTTAAAAACATGAATTCTCAGGACAGTTCCTGAAGTGCGGGTGGTGCTTGATGTGTTATGTTGCAGGGAAGGGAGGGTGTGCTGACAGTTTTATAGAGCCTATGAAGTTTCCCTTCCAAAGCTATGAGTCAATTTCAAAACAGGCTCGAAATGCTGGTGTGAAAGCATAATCTTCATAAAATACCAGCCGGATTCTGGGCCTCTAATCTGCGTCAGCTCAGAGATGTGTCTAGCAGAGACGTTAAAGGGCCCATATCCTACATTTGCATTTTATTATTTTAACCCCCTGAAGTCCACTTAAAATGTTTGTGTGGGTTTATGTATCAAAAACACTCATAATTAATTTAAATTTATCCCTTAAAGTGAAATAAACTGTCTTTGTTACTGTGCTTTTAAGGCGGATTATGTAAATGAGCTTTGTTCTGATTGGCTGCCCTGCGTTGTGCCTCATTTAAAAAACAGTCAGGGCTGAAACACTCCTTATAACGCCAACATGAAAGGGCAGGGGTCAGGTTGTGTAAAGTGTGAATAGACGGATATACAGTCGCACGCAAAAGTTTGACCCCTGGTCAAATTACATGTTTCGTTAATTTTCTAAGTGAAAATAAGATAAACATCCCCTACAGGGAAAAAACTTAAATATTAAATGGCATTTGTCTCTAAATTTTAGTGCACAGTTTCTATTTATTTGATGAGTTTAATATATTGTGCAAATCTATGAAGTGTGCTCTCTGTAGAGGGTCTGTACTTATTTTTACTCAAAAAATCAATAAAACAAACATTTGCATACAACTGTATGTAAATGTGCTTGCTTTTATGGCATCACAAACACAGTGATTTAAAAACAGTCTGTTTTTGCAGCTTAGCTTGCATATATAAAAGTTACATACTAGAACGAGAATGGTATGTTTTGATACTTTTATATTTACATACTACATTAAACTCTTTTACTAAAAAAAAGTGAGGGAGCTTTTCCAGGTTTTTCAAGATATGGGCCCTTTAAAGAATGCTAAATGTAGCCTCTGTCAGTGGGAGAATCCTGGCATTGTCTTCAGGCTCTTTTTTTGCATTGATTCACACCTTGCTGAGCAATCTCAAAAAGCAATACACGCACACCGCAGCTACAATAAGCAGCAGGTCATGTGTAAACAGTGCAGTGGTGTGGGCATGCTTTAAATTTTCCTGTCAGTCAGCCCACACTGTCAGCAGAGATCAGCAACAGTGTTCATACTCCTGAGCTCTCTCAAATGCCAGGCAGCCGCGAAATGTCAAGCCCTGCCAACAATCAGCACCATGGAAGGGAAACGGCTGCCATGCTCCTAGAAGGACCACACTTCTATACATTTACATAGACTGCATGTCCTATAGGAGTGATGGGTTGTACTATAGATTGTTATGGCCGCAGGTGAGATGAAGTAGAGTAGCCATAGGCTGACCTGCTGAGAATGGCAGGGAGACTTTGATTGGCAGCTGCCTGCATTAGAGCCGCTCGCTGTAGGGAACAGGGCAGGCTGAATGTCAGATGTGGAAGTGAGTATGACTTCATACACCACCAGAGGGCATTCTCACATTGCACCTTGATTGTTTCTTTAAAGTGTGGGACTTTTGCCAAGTCCTGCTTCTTATCTCACCTTCATGCATTTCTAATTCTGATAGTCAATGTGAAATTCAGCATACGTAAGTAATTATAACGTTAAATGAACATGTTGTACTGAACATAAACAATAGGAACGTGAATATGATTGTGAATGTTCAACGATGCATTGTGATGGTGCCGATTCAACTGCACCAATTTTGAAATGTTAGATTATAATTGATTATAGTAATATTCAATGAACTATGCTTTCATTTTCTAATGTGAAGATCCAAAGATTTCATTGGTGTATTGTTTTTTGGTCTATATTCCACTACTGTGTAAATAGATATTCCAGTCACATTTATGTATTAAGTGTATTTAATATAAATAAACAAATATGTGCTTGTACCCAATTAATTGGATCAACTGTGGTGAAGAGATTTCATGATGCACTGGATGGCTTCTTGAGGAATCAATGGTAGGCGATTTCCGTGCCATGTGACACAACCGTTTAACAGAAAATTACACTCAACCTGCTGAAAAGGCTGGTATCATGGTAAACCAAATTCCCTTTGGTTTTTCTAAACGAAGCAGTTTGAACTAACATGTAAACATTGTTAAAGTTTTAAAACACGTTTCACTACTCAGTCCACACATTTCATATGTGGAAAAACTCCAGCAGCACTGCTACATCTGATCCACTCATACCAGCACAACACACACTAACACACCACCACCATGTCAGTGTTACTGCAGTGCTGAGAATAATCCACCATCCAAATAGTACCTGCTCTGTGAAGGTCCATGGGGGTCCTGACCACTGAAGAACAGGGTAAAAGGGGGCTAACAAAGTATGCAGAGAAACAGATGGACTACGGTCTGTAATTGTAGAACTACAAAGTGCACCTATATAGTAAGTGGAGCTGATAAAATGGACAATGAGCACAGAAACAAGGAGGTGGTCATAATGTTATGCCTGATCGGTGTATATATATATACACCTATTCAGCCTACACAAGTTTAGCCCTGCCCATTCTTATGGAAGTTCAAGAGTGTTTCAACTCTGAGTGCTTTTTAAATGAGGCACAATACAGATCAGCCAATCAGCCAATCAGAACAGAGCTTATTTATCTTATACCAGCATTAAATGCACAGCAACTAAAACAGCCTGCTTAATTAAGAGAGATAAAGTTGGAAACTGATCGAGTAAAAATGACTTATCATAATTTTTTGTACATAAAACCACACAAATGTTAAATTGAGCTCAAAATAATTAAAAAAGAAACTGTATGAGCCCTTTACTATGATATCAAAATGTTCAGTATTTAGTGTGTCCACTCTTTGCCTTTATTACAGCTTCAAAGTTCAGTCTTAGAAGCTGGTTGCATTTAATTCCAAACATATCCAGTGATGTTGAGGTCTGGGCTCTGGGGTGGTCAGTCTATTGTTCTGAGAACACCAGCAGCTTTTTTGTTTAACTTGCAAATGTTCTTTTTTGTCTATTTCCTTTTCTCAGTAAAGGCTTCTTGACAGCTACACATCGTTTCAGACTCATAGCATTGAGTTGTCTTCTCACAGTGGAAGGATGGACAGAAACACCTGTGAATTATTTCAGTCAAGAAGAAACAGTTGAGCTTGATTTTCTCCAGTCTCTCAAATATTAAAGCTGTACTGTTCTGTACTGTTTATCTGTTGGTGACAGTTTTGACTGGAAATTAAATAAATGAAGGGTGGTCTTGTGCTCTATGTTGTGATCTGACCTAGACTGTAAAACTCACAGTGATCACACTGAGGGTATGTCAGTAGTGTGTCCCAGTGTGTGATGTGGTGTGTAGCTGTGTGTCAGGGTCCAGGTGTCCATTTCCCATCTGGTTGATTTGCCATTACACAATACTAATAAAACCATCAGTGACCTCTACACTCTCCACACTTCATGGTCTCTCTCTCTCTCTCTCTCAGCCTGAGCAAGATACCACTGAACAGTTCTGAGGTCAGTCTTGTTGAACAGACTGTAATTCCACCATAGAACCATCAAGTTCATTTGTACCTTTATACCATCTGCTTGATACTGAGTTTTAGTGCAAATGACATGACTATAGGCTATTTCGCTCAGTGATGTCATTCCACATATGGCTGTTTTTAACAAGGTCCCAATTCCAAGGCAAAGCAACTCTCAGCTGGTTAAAATTAAAGGGGTCATATCCCCTGAGGTCTTGTTTTGTGATGTTTGTGTGGGTTTATGTACCAAAATCAATCGTAATTCATTTTTACATGATCATTTTCCAACATCTGTGTTTCCCTTATAATTAAATAGGCTGATGATTGTAAGTGAGCCCTGTTCTGATCGGTTGCTCTATATTGTGCCTCATTCAAATAGCAATCCAATGTGGGGCTAAACTGCTGTAGACTGATGTAGGTGTCTATATCAAAATATAC